TGACTGATCTTCCTTCTATTTTCAGCTTGGTGGATTTTCTCACCCCTATGTTAGAATTTTTTTCGAAGCAGTTTGGAGTGCGTTCAAAACCAAGCAGGCACCTGAAGAGTTACATATTTAATGATGTGGTTTATTTAAATCTTTTTATATCATCTTTTGTGCTTCTTGAAATTCTATTTTATTTTTGTTCTGTTTTTTTATCTTTTCAATTTATTCTTTTTATGATCCTTAGAAGCTTCACAAATTTTCCACTTTGATTTGTAGATCCATTTGATAACATGATTGAAAAGTCATTGATGATAAATTGAGCCGACTTGGAATTTAGATCAGTTTGTGTTCATTTTCTTTCTCTGTTCTACTGTTTCTATGTATGCCTCATAAGGGTGCGAAAATTTGTACAAGAATGTTAGGGAGACTTAGGGTTAGGGTGAGCCCAAAGACTATCTGTTGAGTAGTGGCTTGCCTGGCCCCCGAACCAATGCTTGACATCACCTGCTGTATTATTCTGATTCGTCTTCACTCTCAAGGTAAAAAAAAAACGATCCACCTTACTAGAACACAACATGAAGTCCACTGTGGAGGTATGTGATGATTCCTGACTGTTTCCCTAAGATGTAGGCCAAAGAATTCCATTGAGCAAAGCTTTTTTTATCTCATTATTCTAGAATTCAAGATGATGATAGGTTGAAGGACAAGACAAAACCAACAGGGGGGCTGGGTTCTTGACAGGATTCATGATCCGAACCCTTGTGATCGTTCATAGGTCTGACAGGATTCAGAACTATGATTTGATCAGGTTTATCTTGATCCAATCTCATTATGACAAGGAGACAAAACCAACGGGGGGGCTGGGTTCTTGACAGGATTCATGATCCAAACCCTTGTGATCGTTCATAGGTCTGACAGGATTCAGAACTATGATTTGATCAGGTTTATCTTGATCCAATCTCATTATGACGAGGAGACAAAACCAACGGGGGGGCTGGGTTCTTGACAGGTTTCATGATCCGAACCCTTGTGATCGTTCATAGGGCTGACAGGATTCAGAACTATTATTTGATCAGGTTTATCTTGATCCAATCTCATTTATCTAGCGTCGATCGGAGCCTATCATGTGGGTTTCTACCCTTTCTTCTCCCGCTTTTACTCTCTCAAACTAACACTTTCTTCGCACACACACAGCTTGCTTTAGTTAAGGGGGAGGCGATGTAGCAGGGCTACCATTCTGCTTGCCATTTTGGACTTTCATACAATATCAAAACAACTTAAGTTACCTTCAAAAGATTAGCTCATCAAGATTCGTTTCAGCTTAGGTATTAGAGCACAAGCCACGGAATGTAATTGCCATTGTGGGTGTTGTGATGTAAGCGGTTCATTATTCTGTTTTGGTCTAGAATCCAGGGCTCGCCCTCTTATTATTGTACTCGCCCTTTCATTTTGTATCAGCCTTCTCGATATTCAGTAACCCTATATAATATCTTGTATTCTTCTGAAGTCTTTGGGATTCCTCAGACTCAATATCTATCATCTTTTTATTATTTTACTTTACCTTACATCTATCATCCTTTTACTAATACTATCTACTGTCTTCTTAAATCCAAATCTATTAATTACTATCTTCCTAACTATTTCAGCTAGTCTAGCTTAATACTTTCTTTCTTATACCGTAATTCAATTGTTATCTGTCCAATTGGACTCCTTCTCTTACTCGTCTCAAATCTTCTTGCCTTAAATCATAACGATTTAACTCGTAAGCACCAAAATTTTAAGACTTAACAAGGACCCTAATTTGGTCCCTGTTACATTGGTAGCGAGAGGTTAAGCTGATATCTCGACTCTTATCCCATCTTGGTCATTTTAATTCTTTCTTAGTTTGACGATTCAATTTCTTCAGACTTTTGAAAAAACCCTCCTTATAATAAATAATAACTATCAACCAAGGTTAGTGGATAAGACCCAGTAATCTCGAGAAACATTTAAGAATATTTGTAGGGATGTGACGATGGCACAAGGAATGTCCCCCGTCCATGTCACGAGTTCTCTTCGAGATGTCTCGTGAGTAGGAAATGACGTGAGTGGTAAGACAGGCCGTTGTGCCCTGGATGAACATCTGAGTTCGAAGACCCTCACACTCCTCCTCGTTCCGCACTAGAGAGTTGTTCCTCTCCCTCATCTTTCTCTCTTCCACTCACTTCATCATCTCTCTGTCGAAATCCTACGATCATCCTGAAGATAGCTTGTCCTTCATCAACTTTCCTTTTGAGCATGAGGTCAAGTAGACGAAATTTAGGACTAGGCCCCCAATTCTCCCCCGAACCTACTCCTCCTAATTCAGATGATTATTTACAAGATTTTGAGATAGAAACGACTTTAGAAGAAGAACAGAGGATTGCTAGGGAAGATGAAGAAGAAGAAAGAAGATCGAAGAATACGAAAGAGTCAATGATTGAAATAGACGAAGACAATATGTCAATATCAACTGACATCCATAAAGACGTAGTTTTATCTTTGGACGATTCAGAAGGAGATGAAGATGCTTTAATAGAAGAAGAAAAAGAGAAGGTGAAAAAGAGCACCAATAAGTCAAGTTAGTTATGAGCTATTCACACTCCTTTTCTATGATTCCTACTCTGAGCTTGAGTCAAGTGTATAATACACGACTCTGTTGTCTAGTCAAGTGTGGTAATCACGACTGTTCCATCGATTAGTCAAGTGAAATATTCACGACTATTCCATCAAGTGGTTTAACCACGATGGTAGTTTAAGACAGTTTCATCAAGTGGTCTTGGCCACAATGAGTCTTTTTAACCTCAATCGTCAAGCAATCTATGAATGCGACGATTAGGTACTAATAGTCAAGACTTGTGAATAGACGACGGATGATTGAATCGAAGTCATAACGTATACAAGTTGACTGATGTTGTGTCAATTGCATTGTTAGGTTTTTTGATCGAACAGGCAAAGGAAGCCTTGGCAAATGGAGATGAGTTGCTACTAAACAGAATTTTAAATGTGATGGAGCCGGAAAAGAGCCTTAAAAGCGAAAAGGATATACAAGAAAATCCGCTAAAAAACTACAAGAAAGGCGAAACTTCCAGATCCGGCTTAAGAGCGTTTAACGATTTTTGGGATGGTCATTTAAAGAAAATGGATTACCACTTACCTTTGACCATTTTCAATGAAGAATGGATTGAATTGGATAAGTTAGTAGCTAGCAACAACACATCAAAGAAAAAAGACAAGATCCCTGGTCAAATTCCCAAGAACGAATGGTATTTGTCCTTTGCAGAATGGACGAGGGCTAGGCAATTGATGGTCAGATACGTGAGAGATCATTACAAACATAAACTTTTTGCAAAAGAGTAAGAGACTCTGAAAAATTATGCCTTAATTTATGATTCAAAACTAATGTGGTTGGTTCCCAATCGAATGAGTAGTTTAGAGGAACACTTCGAATATGTCAACAACTGAGCGTTCGCCATGGTTGGGTCACCGCATTCAGATACGACATTGCAGTAAGAACCGATGTAACCTGCAATCACGTTAATGGAGCGCCGGGAGATCCTTCGGTTAAAAGGGTTGAATTCCTAGAGGATGCTTTGGCTAGAACGAATCTTTTGCACGATGGCAGAATAATGAAGTATGATAACCGTAAGCTATTTACAAATTATTAAATTCATCTCTGGTAAAAAATTTGGGCTTATAATAATTTGTATATTTGTTAAAGCTTACGCAAAAGGTCATGAAAAAGAGAGGTTTAGCCCAATTACGGGTAATTGCTACCCAGCAGGGAAGAACCACAACTCGACTGACTTAGAAGTAGAGGTCGAAGAAGAGAACAATTATTTGAAAGTACCAGCCTACCAAAGAAACGGTAAAAAAAATAATTTCAGGAACAGCTTCAAGTCTGATTATGTGAAAAATAATAGGAGATCGCCGTCCCCTTATTTGAAATCCGAGAAAGGGAAGGGGAAGTTAAATCCCAATCCTAATTATAAGGGTAACTAGCACATCAGCGGCGGGCGCCGCTTTCAAGATATCACATAATGTGGATGGCATCTTTTGGATGTCTTCTAGGTGACACAATACCCATCATAATTGATCTTGTGATGACTCTTCAAGAAATCACTTTGACAGAATTTGTATGAATCAGCAAAGATGGAGTTTTATAATTGACTTCATTAAAACCATACCCACCAATGTATATCACCAACCCACCTATCAATGATTACCAATGACAGATATACACACTCAACAAGTTTTTGACCAAATACCAAGGTTTATTTATTACCAATGTGAGACACAATGCTGCCTGTACTTAGGTACCTTGTTATGAAATAGTGTACTAAGCCTATTCGATCTATGATTTGGAAGATATGCAAGTCCCACAATGGATCAGACTTCAATGTTTGGCTTTATTTTTTTGTAGAAATGGGATAAGAGGTTGGAAGAAAATGAATCTACTTTGATCAGGGTAAGGTTTGTATAGGTACAGTAGTATTGAAAGTGCCTGTACATAGCATCCTCATGAGTGTTAGGTACAGAGCTCTCAAACATCATCTCTGGGTGATCTCAACCCTAAAGCTACTTCTTGTGTATGTACTACATCATCTTGTGTTTAGTTTTCAAACAAGACTTCCAAAAGTCTCCATTGCCAAATTGCTTCCCTTTTGCTTTCTCAATAGGCTGATGGGGTTTGAATAATAATCAAAGTTTTGAAATTGGTCACTTGCAAGTCAATGATTGCATCTGCTGGAGGAATTCAATGGGTTTGCATGATGTGAATAAGCTCAACACCTCATATGCAATCACTTCTTATTTGTATGAATGGTGTTGACTTGAATTGTCTAAGCTTACAGTTTCAGAATGAGCAGTACAACTGTGATGAAGAAAATGATGTAAAGTCATTTCATCATTTACTTTTGTGCTTGTAATTTCAGAGAAACATACATTCACTTTCCTTGTTCTGAGGTGATATATGACAGTTCAACTGGGGCAAATTAAGAGAGGTAACTGAGTAACAGCTTATGGATCCTAATTCTGTAAATTTCATATTTCAGATTTGAGTTTCCCATGGTCTTGAAAGCATACTGTCTGTTGCTGAGAACAGTTGATGAGTGTTGTTTGGTGTAAGACCTGTCTAGCCAAAGAAACATGTTTGTACAAAGTATGAGAAAAGAGGTCAAAATCAATCATATCAATGTCATCAAACCAATGTAAAGTTTCTTACCATTGATTGGAAATTCAGGTAAAAATTTGGCTAATGGGATTGAGATTACATTTAAATCCTCTGGTGATAATTCTTTTAAATAAGATGCTAAAAATCCTCCTAATAAGAGGTCTGTTACATTATCTGGATATCTTTCTACCATTAATGCATAATCTAATTTTTGATTGATGGCTAAATTTAAATTGCCTAAATTGTTGCCTAATTAGATTCCTGCAATCACCGCTTCACCTGATGAACCTAATCCTCGTCCAATGGAATTTGATTTTCAATATGAAGTGTTAATCCATTTGGAAATGATTTGGTCTCATTTGATTGTAAGACGTGCTACTCTTGTGATTAAATTTTGATATGGATCTTTTGGTGCTTCATATGATCCTAAACCTTCGTAAGTTAATTTAATTTGAATGTTGAGTTTGAATCAATTTGTAAGTTGATAGTTAAATCAAGTGATGAAGCTAATCCTAATACATCAAACCCTGGTCCGATATTTGCAGAAGTTGATGGAACTCGTATGATCCACTGTCAAATCAAATCCAAATCCCAAGTTAGATTCCATCAAGTTTCCAATGATGAATCGCTATGAGTGTCAGCCCTGAGTACATATACATGTACCCAAAACTAACTTGTAACATTAAAAATATTATGTATAAATTAAATTACATGTACATACTGAGTTTAGACTATATGTAACATGTAATACAATGTACCGAAACACTCATTACATACACATGTACACTTAAAACAACATGTAATATGTAACAAAACACTATTTACACCTCATAACTCAGTGTCAAGAGTTAAAATGCTTATAGTACATATTATACATAACATGTATATGCAATTAAGCATTACTAGTAATAATCATTAACATATATCAATGATCAACCCTGAACCAATGTAGTGATAATCACAAATATCACCATAGTTAGGTTTAGAGAGGAAGGTATATAAACCCCTCCCCTCTCAGCCTTCAAGGAATTTCCCTCAAGCAATTATTACACCACACTTTTAAAGAACAATATTAAAGTTCTTCAGAAGTAAAAATCAAGAGTCTTACAAGATAAGACTAGTGATAAACTTCTTACAAACTTTAATCAGCTTCCTGATTAAAAGTAAGTAATACATTTCTTCACATCCCTCTGGATCCTCTACTTCCCCCAAGTAGAAAACAAACTAGGTTGGTGACCTCTAACAGCCCCAGGTTAGTGACCTTAAGAAGAACTTTCAGGTTGGTGACCATAAGAATAACCCAAGGTTGGTGACCATAAGAACAACTAGTTTGGTGATCTTTATCTCACCCTTTAACTCAGTCACCAGAAGACTAAAGGAGGGTCTTGGATCCAACCCTCAGCCAATAATAATAATACTAGTTATTATTTATAATCTCCTTTTAAGGAGTCACTTAACTGTAGTCTGTCTGGATTTGTCCCAACAGACTACTAGTGCTATTCCTTTCTTTTCTCTTCTTTCTTTATTTCACTTGTAGATACTACATATATGAAATAAAGAATAAGAGTTCTTGACATCATACCCACCAATTTGCCCAATTAGTGAGCCCAGAGTCCTCTTCCTGAGCACCTACCCTCACAATGAGAACAAAGAGAAGACCACTTTACGAATCAATTCCATTGGGTCTTCTTTGAATGTTGTAGCTTGTCAAGTTGAGATCAAAAAGTCGATCCGAGATTCCCAGACTTGAATAAACCATTTCCGAACAAAATTGTGGGATTCGGCTTCAGCGTACCGTTCCTCATCTAAGAATTTTCTAAAAAAAAGAAATCAAACCCTTACCACTATTCTCTTTAATCTAAGCTACAAGAACCGGGAGATTTCAAGAAGAATGTCTGTTTCGATTATACAACAATCCGCCCAAATATCTAAAAAAACCCATAACATCATTCATTAACAAAAATACAATATATAAAAATCAGATTGAAAGTTACCCTTGACTACTAAACAAAGCACCTAATCCAATAACAGTAGCACTAACAATCCTTCTATCCCATCTCTTACTATACCAATTCTCAAAAACAGGAAATCCAACACCAGCGATCACACCTACATTCAAAACAGATAATAAACTAAATTGAAGATCAAGTTTTTCAATTTCTTTTCTAGCTTTTTTAGGAACTTTATCAATTTGATCGGCTGGCCTTTTAGCTTTGTTTTGATGTTGATTTGGAGGCTTGTTGGAAGATTCTTTAGTAGGCATTTTACCTAAGTCTGATGATGATTCAGATGGATCGATTTTGTTTTCTTTTTCCAATCTTGATTTATTTGTATCTTCTTCAAATTGGGTTTTTCCTGACCAATCGTTCGGCACCACTATATGAAGAACAGAAACTTCAGATTATGATATATAAATTTGTGAGAAAGAAAGAACGGTTTTGAATCATTACCATTAAGTTTATGATTAACATCAGGAAGTGAAGATCGATTAACATGTTGACTTGCTAAGTCATTAGTAGGACCTTTTGATAAGCTTGGATCTGGTTTGGATTGTTAATCAGGTGGTAAAGTGTGTTGTGTTGGAATAGATGCGTAACTTGTAGGATGTGACAATGAATCATTAGTTATGTATAGTTTTTGATGGTCAAGTCTAAGAGAATGATTGAATCTACCTCATTGTTATGTGTATTGATGGTGGTGAAGTAAAGTAGCTGAGATGGTTTAGTTTTGATGACTGATGAGATGAAGGAGATGAACTGATTTAAGGAAAACTGTTCATTACCTCATGACATCCTTGATTTTCATTATCGTGCATATAAAAACCTCCTGCCATCATCCACTCATACCCGTCAGTTCGGCGATGGTGGCATCGATTGCTTTCAAATCGGGCATCTCGTTATCAATAGCAGCAGCAACTACATTTGAGGTACCAGACATTGCCCTCAGATAAGTGCAATGAACGTTTCCCGCAAAAGATCGCAATCAACTTCGAAGTCCAATAGGCAAGTTGATTGAGGATGTTGCATATGAAGTTGTTGGAGTAGAAACATTGAGGTTGGATATGATCAATCTTGCTAGAGGGTTGTGAATCGTAGTACCAGTAGTAAGAAGTTGATTGAGTGCTGGAAATGAGTAATTGGTAATCTCGTTCACGTTGAGGTTGACCATCTTCCTCCCAATTTGATAATATCCAGTTAGCATTCCGATCTAGTTCCATATTAAGTTGGGTAATAACAGTGACCATCGATCGAAGACCATAATACTTGTCTATCATTGGCTGATGTTGATCGATGATTAGAGCCAGTTGTTTGAAGAGTGAAGTCAGTTGAGGAAGACGTGGTTTAGGTTGGGACCTGTTCCTGTTGGTCGAGGAAGGCTGATCAATGTTCGTACAAAATCTGAGTAAGCTGCTAATCCAGCCTCAGATGCTTTGGACCCTAAAAATGGAAAGAGTTTGAAGAATGGAATAGTAGCAGCTTCATCTTTTGAATTAGCAGCCTGAGTGAAAGCCTTCAAAAAGATTCCAGTTAATTGATTTTAAAGTTTTCTAAAGCAATCAAAGGTGGTTCAGGATTATTGGTCGTAGGCTGACAAAATAAACATATAAGGGGCATTCATTTTGTCTTCAGTAAAGAAATTCAAAAGACTCTATAAAATTGCCTACCACCACTGCTTCTGCAAATTGACTACAAATCATTTCTGGATTGATTCCATTGGCACGTTGAATGTGTTGTGTAGCAGCTTCCCAATCAGCTTTTTCGATTGCTTGAAATACATTGATCAAGGTGTCTTTAAGTTATGTGACAGCTTGAACCCGATCGATGCATTCCTTGACCCTGCTCTGTTTCAGGTCTAGGATGCGGACCTTGCTGGATATTCTTTTGGTTACAGCTGCCTGCTTGGTAGCCACTTCATGAAGGGTCAGTGCATCTTGAGTGGGTGAAGAGACCAATGGGTTTTAGGTTTGAGATGTATCATGACTTGTTATCTTGAGGGCTGAATGAATTGTGGTAGATTTGCTGAGAGTGATTTGAGCTCTGTATCTTACAAACGGATTTTGGATGAGGCGCGTGAAATTCAGACTTAACTGTGTGGACGTGTAAACCTGGAAATTGGTAGTAGGGATTGGGAGTTTAATCAGGTTTTGCCAGCGAACATGGTTTACCTTTAACTTGAATGATAATTACGATGAGAACTACGAGAAAGGGAAATCTGAAAAGGCAGATGGAAAGCAATTGTCTTCAAAAGATAAGATGTAAGCAACTTGTAATCTGACTCTAAGTGCGAGTTTGTTGTAGATGGTTCATAGCCAAAATTAGAAATTTTTCTGAATGAATTTTTATTGTATTTTAAATTGGTGTTTGTATTAGTGTACCTATGGAATTTCAACTAGAGAATGAAAAGGTTCTTCCACTTGTTTACAATAAAGCGAGCATTTGGCCTTCTCGAGTACGGTGTGAAATGAATATGAAAGTATGGGAGAGAGAACTAGAAAGATATGGATTATTAACAGATTATCTATATTTGTTAGATGGATTCATAGACGGTTTTCACCAAGGGATTCCAAAACACACAATAGAAGGATGCAAATGGTTTTCACCGCCGAATCATAAGTCAGCCTTGGATGCAAGAGAAAAGATCGAAAAGAGTATTGAAAAAGAAGTTAAGGCAAATAGAATGTATGGTCCATTTACCAAGCAGGAGGTGTATAATAGACTGGGGTTCTTTCGTACTAGTCCTTTAGGGGCTGTAGAAAATGGCGACGGCACATTTCGCCCCATAAATGACATGTCGTTCCCAAAATTTGACGACAATGTCCCTTCAGTTAATTCATTCGTCAACAAGATGGATTTCGCCACAACTTGGGATGATTTCAAGGTTGTAGCAAAATTTTTCAAGACTCTCAACAAAAATGTTCAAATTGGTCTGTTCGATTGGGAAGGCGCATATCGCCAGATACCTACTCATCCATCGCAGTGGCCCTATTTGGCGATTAGAGATTTCAAAGGTTTAATCTATATCGACTTGAGAATTGCCTTCGGTGGCGTAGCTGGATGTGGCTCATTTGGCGGCCCCGCGGATGGATGGAAGAATTTAATGAAATTAAAATTCAACTTGGTGGAAGCGTTTCGATGGGTCGACGATAATCTTATGATCAAAGAAGAATCAGACCCTCTTTCGATGTTGGAGATTGTAAGAGCTAGTGAAGAGTTAGGTGTTAAGACGAACTCAACGAAGTATTCCGAGTTTAGCGATGAACAAAAGTTCATTGGGTTTTTATGGAACGCTAAATTGAAGACAGTAACGTTACCTGACAAGAAATTACAAAAGCGGAAACAGGATCTAGTTTCCTTCTTGTCAAAGACTGTGTTCAAGAGGCGAGATGTTGAAAAATTCAATGGGAAGTTAGGTCACTTGACACTAATCTTACCGCAATTGAAAGCTTACCTTGCGGAGAACTTCAAATGGGTAGCGACATGGAGAACCCCAGGTGTTTGGAAAATGCCACCTACGGTAAAAGAAGACATGCTCTTCTGGAAGGCCTGTCTAGACGATTTACGACCAACCAGGTTAGTCCCGGATCACAAAGTGAGGAATGTCGGTTGGGTGGGAGATGCCTCCTCCAGTTTCGGAATCGGCATCATCATCGGACGAAGCTGGGCCCAATTTGAATGGATCCCAGGTTGGTCAGAACCTCACGACTCACCCAGGCAAACTATAGCCTGGGCTGAGACCGTGGCGGTACGTTTGGGTCTATTGATGTTGATAGCGACGTCGGACGTGGCAGGCAACTGCTTTTCTTGTCTTACTGACAACACTACCACGGAGGGCGCGGCACGTAACCGCAAATCAAAGGATTTTTGGGTTAATGAGGAGTGGAAGCGCATCCAGGAGCTGTTAATCGGTAACGACTGTGACCTCCAACTGGTCAGGGTGATTTCGAACAACAACAACGCTGATAAGCTATCGCGCGGTTTAGACACTACAAAAGCAGAGAGCCGAATGATAAAAATCGAAATACCGCCTGACCTCGTTCCTCTCATTTGACAAGTATCCCCAAAAAGTAAACCTTCTACTTCTGGAATTTGATAATTCATCACCTTCTTAATGCACGCCGCGATGGTTCTCTGCCAATCAAGTCCAGATCTTTTTTGCCATCTGGACAGCGCTAGTATGTTCATCTTGAATCATGGTTGGGCACCTTCGACAAAACGCCACTACGCAGCGGCCGTTAACCGTTATTTCAAGGCAACGAAGGACTTCGATGGCCAGACTTTCCCGGCGACAAGGGCATCGGTGTATCACTTCATTTCATGGTGCAGGTGTAATGAGACGGACAACATGGTTTTGAGTAATACCATCAAGCGTTATTTGACAGGATTGCGTATGTGGCATACTCTGCACGATACGGACTTCCCCATCATGGATGAAGACAGAATACGACTCTTATTGAAGGCTGCTAGCAAGACTGAAGTTAAACGGAAAAGCGGCAGGGCGGGTCTTTCTTTGATGGACTTGCACATGCTGGTATCCAAACTCAGCGAAAGGACGGCTTCTGGTTTAGTCATGAAGGGGCTTCTATTGGTCGGCTTTTGGGGTTTGGCTCGGCTGGGTGAGCTAACTTTCAACCAGGATCACCCTCTCGTTCTCATTAGGCGAAAAGACGTGGTTTTCAATAGCGATTTGTCTCATGCTACAATACGGATTCGCCTCGCAAAGACTGCCGCTCCTGGCGAATCGCAGTTTTTATGTTTGTCACGCCAACCCAACTCCCTAGACCCTTTACGTGCAATCAAGAGTATCTTAGATAGCGTCCGTGGCGACTCAAACGCGCCACTATTTCCTCGCGCCGATTACAGCGGCCCTTTAACGAGGGATAATGTGATCAATTTTCTCAATAGATACAAACCGAGGAACGGGGTAGCGTGGTCAGGTCACAGCTTACGGATAGGGGGGGCTTCCCTAAAAGCTCACATGGGGATGTCGTTGCGTGCGTTGAAAAGATCCGGGAGATGGAAATCTTCATGTTACCTGTTGTACGTACGTCGGTATAATAAGAAGACGGCAGAACAGACTTCTAGTCTTGCGAGAAAGTTACGCCGTGAATTTACTTTAAGATTGTGACGCTGTCGCATGATTAAATTTTCTCTGCCACTTGGATCATTTATTTTTGCAATTCAGATTGATAGAAGTTTTTGTGGGTGTTTTTTATATATTGTGATCTCAGTACTACGAGATTGGGGTTGGAGACCCTTCAGCAGTGTCTTGGCTCTCCGAACCTCAATCCCTGATATGGGCTCTAAGGGTCTCCTTTCCCCATTCTACTGAGATCGTAGATTCTTCTTGTAAGGTTCCTTCACAGACGCCTGACAGAGATGTTTCAAACGCTAGGCGTTCTTACACCCACAGCTGAGCAAGCCTCACTCCTGTCCTTCAGGAGCAAGTCTTGCGCCCAGCATCAATACCTAGCGTATTGAACCTATTACTTAAGTTAGAAAAGCTAGACTTTTCTATCTCTTTCTCCATCTCAAGGTTGGAGATGATGAGACATGGACAGTCAAATAAATACAGAAAACTGATAAAAAAAAAATTCTTCCATTTGTCATCGTTTTTGATAGAAGCTCCTAAGAAATGTCTTCGTCAGAACAGACCAACAATGACTCTCGGTCGGTGTCGGATCCTTTAGACACCATCACGCTCACCGACGAGCAAATTGCGGTGCTCCATTCGCATCTTCCTGATCTACCCAAAGGGGATCGTTTCTACAACCCAGAAGTTTCGATGAAATTTACTGACCTTCAGATATTGATCCAAGCTCATCTCGATCAATATGAACAAAGTATCCTCCGGTCTCTTCATAAGGATGTTGCTGCCATTCTCGGCTGCGATACATATGGGAATCTGCTTCCTACCGAGCCTAGGGAACCACTCTCGGCAACCCCTCATCAATCGGTCAATAAGATATTGTATTTGACTTACGTCCCTCCAGAGGAAGAACTGTCCCCTACTCGAGGATCGTTGCGGCTTTTGTCGGCAACGGTTACGACCAGGGTTCCACGACCAAGTCGACTCGAGTTTTCTACGGCCAAGTCAGATACCGTCTCAGAAGCTTCCAGGGGTAAATCGGATCAATCAGGGGCTCAAACGGTGTTGGTTGACAACGTCCACGAAGTTTTGGCACCTTCAGCCGACAAGGGAAAACATTGCTACTTGTCTCCGTCTTCTGTTGTCAATGCGAAATTGCCACAACCTCATCTTTCACCTTCCCCGGCGATTCAAGGTGCATCGCCTAAGCCTTCAACCGTGTCGGTCAGCGGGGCCGGCAGACAGCTTCAGTCGATGATGTTGGGAGACAACAAGCCGGTAAAGTCACTCTCTCTTCGGGTATCTTCCACCAATCTTCGCTACGCCTCCGTTCTGCCCATTCCTGCCCCTATCGACGAGAGTTACGATAGCCCCGATGAAGCAAGCGTCCATGTTACGACTATCAAGAATGTCGCCGATGCCTTGAAAGCGTTGAAGAGAGCAGGCAATGTTAAAGCCTTTTATGGAGGAATGGATCAGGACGCTTCCTTGTGGCTTCATAAGTTCAAGGTCACCTTGGCCCTCAATTTTATCGACAGCTCCATCTTCGTGCCAATGGTTTATCAGTACCTCAAGGGTTCGGCACTCACTGCGTTAACAGATGTAGTGAAACGCCAAAAACAGCCACTCACCATGAAAGGAGTTCTAAAATTCCTCAAGGCTCACTTTCCTTCTACCGTTGACATAACCAGCATTGACAATCAACACCAGGCACTGAAGCAACGTTCTGCCCAATCAGTGCTCAACTTTTGGACCAAGTATCAAGACTTCATGATCACCGCTTCTCACGTCGACTACAAATACAACCCAACTGAAGATTTTGTCAAACGGTTGCACCACGGGAGCGCGGCTCAACATGTCAAGGATGAAGTTTTGCGGTATAAGAGGGCAGGTGTTGTGTTTAAAGTCCACGAAGTCGCTCAAATTGCAATCAGCAAGGATAACGATATGATCTCGGATCGAGGAGTTCATAACGGGAATCAACCGTCTGGTTCCAAATTCAAATCATCGGACAACCGTCGAAATCAGTCGGCTCGTCAGAACAACTTTCGACGCCGGGATCAGGTCCATTTGGTCTCTGACTCTTCCAACTCGCGAAACAAGAAACGCAAGTCGGACAAAAACCATCAACAACGCGAGCGATCGAGGAAGATGGTGGCGGACATCAATGGAAAGACTACTGATGGCCTTAAGTGTTACAATTGTAACGAGTGGGGCCATCGTTTTGAAATGATGGAGGTTAAGTTGTGTCCAAACCCCACTTCCACAATGATTAAAGATTACTTTGACGGCAAGACACAGTGTCATTTTACTAGTCACTGGCAGGCCAGTGAGTTCCATTAACCGCAATCCAATCTCAATTCAATGTCAGTTCAATATCAGTTTGACCTCCAATCATGTTTGAGTGGGGGATATGCATGGGCTGCATAATCACTTGAACCTTCCAGACATTCTGACACCTTCATGTGTGGACATGCAACCAAACTTAATTCCAGTTCACTCTGGAAGGTTGTTTGTTTGCTACTCTAGGCCAAACATTGAGATTGGATTTGAGATTGGATTGAGATTGGATTGAGCTGGACGTACTCACTGGCCTGCCAGTGAGTAGTAAAATGACACTGTGAGAAACAATCAGGTACAGCGTCAAAAGATCAGGCAAGAAAGTAGCTGCTCTCTCTTTTTTGCCTAGTCTTAATTTGTCATCACCATTATCTGTAGAAACCCCTGCATGTTTATCTAATGCAATTAATCTGGTTTCTGTTAGTGTTGACTCTGAGTGCGCCATAATGGCTAATGAGGATGAGCCTCTCAATGCATGTAAGAAAATAAGTATGAGTAATAATTTCCCTTCTGTCGCCACAGTGCATAATCTTGAGTGCGTACAGTCTATCCTTGCCGTCAAAGAACCACGAGTACGGTCAAGATGTGATGAACACATGGTGTCATCAGGGTCCTCATTGGACCCAGCCAGCCTAACAAGAGATGCGAGTAACGCATTCTTGCCGGCCAGCGAGCCCGTTATTTCACTTCTTGGAGAAGTCAAACTTGATCAGTTTGATTCCTTGGCTGCGCTTGACAACAACTCGGATGGTGACCAAGTCGACTTTGTCCTCTCTGTAGGGCAAGTCGCCATTAAGGTCTTAATAGACACAGGCGCCCGCGTGTCCTATATATCAAGCCGTCTTGTCTCAAAGTTGAGATATACGACTTACGCTAATACTAAGGAGCCAACTGTTTATGGTGCTTGGGGCGAGCCCCAAGTCTGTAAGCGATTGGTAGATTTTAAGTTTGACCTATCAGGTTTGAGTTTTTTGCAGCCATGCCGCGTCGCTTCGTTGGGGAACTACGAAGTGATCCTGGGTATGGATTGGATCAATAAGCATGCTCTAGTCACTGATTGGAGGTCAGGAGAATGGACTTTAGTGGGCCATAATAAGCAGACCGCCTTGTTTGATCCTTGTGCGGTCAAGGCCCCGAAAATAAGAACCCATCTTCTTAATAATGTTATGGAAGTTAACAAGGAGGATAAGCCTCTCAGTCGAGGAGCTATTCGACGGCTCCTTCGTCGAAAGAATGCCGAGTGCTATCTTATTGATGAACTGATTTGGACCGCGGAACAAGATTCCGTGAGCACAATATGCACAGAAAATGGCCCTAGGGAGGAAACTCCCTCTGAGGTGCCCACTGTCGTTACTACCAATCCTAAGCTACGAAAGATAGCATTGGACATTATTGCGAAGTACAAAAATTTGTTCGACCCGGTCAAGAAAGCTCTCACAAAAGAGAGAGTCGTGCAGCATTTAATTGATACAGGGGACTCAGCCCCTGTGTATCAACCAGTATGACACTTGTCGCCTCTACTCTTGGAGGAGTTACGCTCTCGTCTGGAGACTCTTCAACGCAACGGTTTCATAAGGCCTTCTACGTCGCCTTGGTCTTCCCCGAATTTTGTTTGCTCAAAACGCTACGGGTAAGCTGTGTTTTTGTGTTGACTATTGAGCAGTTAACGCTATTACAAAACGCAATTGCCATCCACTTCCCATGGTTCAGGACTGCTTCGATCAGCTTTATGGCGCTAAGAGGTTCTCAAAGCTTGATCTTCAACAGGGTTTTCATCAAATGAAGATCTCTCTTCCTCATGTCCCAAAAACCGCGTTCAGTACCCGGTACGGCCACTACGAATGGCTAGTGATGCCTTTCGGATTGGTGAATGCCCCTTCCACATTTCAGCGTATGATGTCTGACATACTTCGGCCTTATTTGGATAAGTTTGTGCAGGTTTATATGGATGATATCCTTATACATTCCAGGACTGATGAGGAGCACGAGGGACATGTCAAATTGGTTTTGGAGGCTTTAAGCAAAGCTGAATTGAAATTCAGTGGGCCCAAATCTTTGTTATATGCGGAGGAAATTCAATTTGTTGGTCATCTGCTGTCTCAACATGGGATAAGGCCTATGCCGGAAAAAGTGGAAGCAATTCAGCAATGGCCTCGTCCAAAGGACGTTCATGATGTTCGTTCCTTTTTGGGTCTTGCAGGGTATTATAGGAGATTCATAAGGGATTTCTTGCTTCTTGCTCAAGGCACGAAATGTAAGACCGGTCCAAAATGGTAGTAACCAAGGTTTGAGATACAGATCAAAAGGGGAAATGGAAATGGGAGGATTAGGACGGATTCAAAGAATCTCCAATGACTGCACCTAGGGTACGTATGACGTATCCCCGCTCACTCAAAGAAATGAGATCAGAGGTTTCTTTACAAACATCTCGTCCCAAATTCTTTCCCGTCTCTATCCCTTCATCCATTTCCTTTCTTCCCTGTTTCTCAAACTTACTATCCGTAATTACTACTTCAATTTTAAACCACATTACAATAAACTAATACTAATACTAACTAATTTTGAGAATAAACGCTAAACTTTACATAACTATAATCATCACAATCATCAATCAAATTAACTCTTTTACTTTAATAAAAATCGTTAAAAATCGTTTCAAACACAAGTCTGTCACTAGTCCATAATAGTAGTACCAAACTCAATTCATCAACAAAGACCTTAACCAAGGACAAGTAGAGAAATTTGATTATTATAGACTTGAATATGACAAAGACAGAATCAACGGTAGCGAGAGCCATTAGAGCAAGCCGAAGAGTGCAAGGTTTAGAGGTAGACAATGCCAGTCAAACAGGACAAACTCAACCAGAGGCAGGACCTAGCTCGAGCATGCAAGAGTCAGCACAAACCAGTACAGCACTGGTAAACGACATAGTCAACTCCAACAATCCGGTAAATCAAGAACCCAAGAGGCAGCTACGAAACCCAGTTACACCACAACAACACCTGCAGAAGTTTATAGAACTAGAACCACACCCCCTTTGGAACTTCATAGGACACGTTCCGATTCCACTGCCTTTCCCAACGACATCGAGTCTTGAAGCCAACATTAGACAGCCCAAGGAAAGTGTTCAAAATTCCTCATCAGACCAAGACGACCCGCATAACGACTTCATCGACAGTGACAACAAGTCAGAGAGCGAAAGAAGCGATTCAGACGATTCAGAAAAAACAGAAGAAGAGAAGAAGAGTAGGTTACACAAATCTTCACCATCGCTAGGATCGTCAAACAGCAACAAGGAGTCAGGAGGAAATTCAAGCGACTCATCGTCAGTTTCAAATTCAGATAGTGAAAATAGTGATTCAGGTTCAGAATCAGGAAGCAGTTCGGATGACTCAGACAGACAAGGAGAGAAAGGTGAGAAATCTGAACTTCAGTGTGAACTTGAATAACGCTATCCCAATTTTCCAAATTTAAACCCTCCTAAAAGACCTACATTCCGGTCATCCACACCATCCTTTGTAATATAAAAATCTATCCTTCCTTAATTCCAAATTTGGAAACTTCCTATAGTTGAAAACCCTCTCAATCATCCTAATTTCCAAATCTATAACCTATAACCTAAACTCCCTATCGATCATACTCCAACCCTAGAACATTCCATAATACCTAGGACCAAAAAGAGATTGATTTCAATAATAATCTTGGTTACAACAGCTCCTCTGCGAGTAGAGCGCCCCAGATAGGGAAGAAATCAAAGATGACATATAACTCCTTTGAATTAGAGAGCTCCTCTTAGAGTAGCTTTGTAAAGTAATACAAGAGATTTCCAAACAGTAAAAGTTGCAGATTGCCCCCCCTCCTTGACACCTGAACCTGTCCCTCACCTTTTGCTGCCTTCCCAGCCCTTTTATTTCCTGCTCTTTGTTCAAAAGAAACTCCACATCATGGCAAGAAGGCTCACCGACACACACAGCCACCCTCCAAACTGACAACAAGACAATTCAGTGCGTAAATGCTGTCGTCCGCGCAGCAAAACTAAAAGCAATTGCACTGTCGGGGATTCGAACCCCGGACTAAAGCTGTTCTATGATGGAAGGCTTCAATGCTAACCGCTACACCAACAGCGCTTGTGGCCAAATACTCCCAAACCGCGCTATGGCCACGGACGCTAAGAAACGCGAGGAAAAGAATCCAGCCATCAAGATTTGTGTGATGTAAATCTTTAGGCATAAGAGATCAATTCTTCAATCTGTGTGTGTTTTCAGCGTGGCGCATAGCAAGCGCTATAGTGGGATGAGGTTTAGTGGAGTACAAGGCCAGGACATGCAAGGGAGAAATAGTCTCAAAGTTTTTTTTTTGGATTGATCTTGCTTCAAGTAGCAACAGGCGGCATTTTATATATTAGAAACCCCGTTGAATGAAAGGGATTCAACATTTTCGTGTACTAGGCAGGTACGCAGCCATGGCAACCTGAAAGGTTTTACACAATAGCATCAGCGATGTGGGATGCAATACTCGTCAAGATAAAAACTTGAGGCAGGCTTACGCGAATGGTTGGTGATGATGTTGCATTCAGCTTCATAGCTTGTTTCACTATTGTGTGGACAATCCGGGCCTACAATAGAATTGTTGATGTGATCATATGGTTAGTATAAAAGTATTGTGAATGTTGTCCCTCATTGGATGGTGACTTACCGGATTTCCGATCACACTTGGTCTTCCAGGATTTGTTCGCGTCACAGACTAACAATGCGCAAGCAATTAGATGATAATGATTCCACACGGAGGAATAAAAGCAATGCCCGGTTTTCTAACTCGAGGACGCGAATGGTGCGTGGCTCACTGATTTTCACATCGTTTCCGACCGGTAGGCTATAATCTTTGTCACAAGTAAACTCAACATCCGGTTTCCATTGATGGCTGTTGATTTGACATCCTGTGGCTGATAGACGGACCAATAGAATTCAAAGAGCAGGGGCAATGTAAGTGAGTTGTGACACTGGGATGAGAAAAGTGAGGGACTGGAAGAGGGTAAACTGCTCACCTGTCGCTGCGTTACACCTTCCCCATGGACACTTGTATTCTCTCGTGCCTCCATTGACAGAAGTATAGCAAGCTGAAGAATAGATGACAATCAATTGCCATCAAATGGGATGTCGCGCCCAAGAAATGCGCTAAAGAGGTACGATATTACCCACCAACGGTGTTACCTTGAGAACTGACTAAGCCTGGGCTCGCATTGCAAACAACGAATTCGCTCCTGGCAAAACCCACAAGGGTCGCGAAGTACAAGATGAAAACGCGAAATCGATTCATGACAAAATGAAGCTTTCAGAGGCGGGAGTTGATGGAGAGCTGGGGTACAAAGGGTATTAGAGGGAGGTCCAATACATATACAAAACTCTCCACTCTATTTGCCATAGACCCTAGATCTTTATTTTGTATACAGCCATTGGTATGGTAACACACCTCAGAGTCGAAGATATATTAGGGTCTTGATCATTCTACACTTGGCATGGCTGATAGTAGCTCAGCCACCGTGCTAATTGTAATTGCATCGAGTGACTCAAAGCAGTGGAGCGGAAGCATCGGAGGATTTTTGGAGATGGGGATGCCCGAGGGTGCAACTTGCAAGAGGGAGCCGCATGAGTGAATAGCGGAAAGAAATCAGCCAACGCCCAATTCAGCATGGTCATCCTGTGAAACGTCTTGTTTTGCGCCCCCAATACATTGTGTGCCCCGTAAGGTACGGGTGCGGGGGGTTTGGTGTAAAGTCCCCTACCCGCGGTTTGTGAGCAAAAACTTCGGTTTCAAACTAAAGACGTGACAAACATAATAGTCCAGACAGTAAAGATGAACAAAAGTAGAAAACAAGACGGTAGAGACAGACTAGAGTTGAAAAAAAAGAAAAGTAAAAAGAAATGAAAAGTGTATGATGAAATTGATCATGATTCACAATCGTTGTCAATCACAATATGTTTTCCTGAACCTGATGTGGTAAGTTTGTGAGGGAAATACATAGGCCCAAAAATTCAAAACCACTCCTTGATGCACACAAGCATCTCCACACTCATAGGAGTGAGAGAAGATCTTCGAGGACTTGTAATTGCTTTTGTCGTACTGAAGGCTCCCTCAGATGGTGTGCCTGTAGCTGGAATTGCAAGGTACATCTTTGCCATCTTGGCAAGTCCTGGTAGGTTTTACTCCTTTGCTTTCCAAAAAGATAATATGTCACCGCAATGACGGTCACAATCACCCAGATAGCAACTAATCTCACTTTCAATGGTGGAGTATGAAGCTGATTCTTTGGTTCCGTTGATTGCTTTGGCAAATTGATTTGGTTTGAGCTTCTGCTTTGTGAGTGTGGGAGTTGGAGAAACAGAGGCAAAGCTTGATGCCTGGTCAAGAAACAGTTGCTTGAAGTCATTGGGAGTCATGCCATACTCTGGAAAAAACTGTGCTCGATCCTATGCATGCATATTTGGTTAATGGAAATATTATCAACTTTGATGAATCATCATTTAAATCCATGCTTACCTCAAAGAACCTCAACTTTAGCCAAGGGTTCAAAATCATTGCACAAACCGCTGCTGGTTTATTAAGTGCTGCTTGGGAGTAGTCTTTGAGCTTCTTCAACATGTCCTTTGCTGTGGTTATAAGCTGAGTAGGGTCATACTTATCCTTGACCTGAAGTGAACAGATTAACAATGTTCAGGACAAGAAAACATTGGTCAAGATTGTGAAATGATAAGATAACATACACCGGCTTTGCTAGTCGACGAGCGCACACCAACTCCCTTTGAGGCAGAAAGGGAAGTCGTGCGCGCTCGTCGACGAGCGAACACTACCCGGACACGATGATACCTTCATCAAACCCTTGTTGATTACTGTATAAACAGGGATCACTTTGTGCATCGTAGGAAATTTCCTTTGACACAACATATTCCAACCTAGATAACGCATACTTTGGGGCCTGGCGTTCACAATATTGCACGCAAGCTTCTTTTAAGCAAAGAGCTCACTTCAGCATGAAGTACGATGAATTCCATTGGGTTGGAACATCAACCATGAGCCGGTTGACATGATCACTTGACTCAGGTTGTGATTGATTGGGGCCTTCCTCATTGCGGTTTGAGGCAGAGCAATACTGGAAGAAGTCAAAAGCATCTTGATCTTGCTGTACCTCAACATCGTCCTTGCCTTTGTCCATCTCGGTAGGCTAATTTAGTTCCTCTGGTCCTTGTCTGCTGAAGATGTCTGAAGATCACAAACTAAAGCTATGACACTAGCAAAGTTCTGACTATGTTGAGGTGTTTTCCAAGTGTATAAAGCAAGACCATGTACAGGAGCATAGCTAGTGTTCAAGTTGACAGAAGTGTTGTTGGGTGTTTGAACAATGTTCACTAATGACAGAGGAAGGTGTTCATCATCATCAAATGCATTGTCTCCAAAAATTTTGAGGCCTTGTTTGGCGGCCAGGTTGATCATGTGGGTGCAGCATCCCATAAGCTGATTTTTGTCAAAGGTAATGTCTGGCTCTTGCAATATCAAGCGTCCAAGCTTTCCATTTACACCAGCATTATTGGCTGTCATACCAGCTATCTTTGAGCCCAATTTTTATTGATGAATATACTTGAGAAGGATCTCAGCAAAGTTATTGGCATCATGAGGACCTACACAAATGAAATGAATGGTTGTCCAGCAAACAATCTAAGATATTGTTATCAATCATAATGGATAATAGAAAACAAAAATGTACCTTTTTGGGTATTTTTATGCTACATCAACTTGCCCATTGTCAAGGCTGCCATCATCCTATGCTAGTATATTATACCATGAGTAGACAACTATACCAATATAGTTGTACCTATACTATACTGAAAAATATACCCAGTATAGTTGGATTTACCAAATATCCTGAAAGACACCTATACAAGTTTTCAAAAACGAATCTGACTATACTTCAGTATATGTAAGCTATACTGAGTATATTTCAACTATATTACTATACTATGTTTAGCGCTATACTATACCAAGTATAGTTCAGATGCAGTATAGTATAGTGCGGTATAGGCATAGTATAGTGGCAGCCTTGCTGTTCTTTTCTTGTAAAATATGCGTAGAGGTTTTAAAGCAGGACACCTTTTTAGGCGTCCCAAATTAAAACACATACTTGTTTGGATTTATAAAAATTATGCAAAAAAAAAAACTTGAAACCCCCTATTACCCCATGTCACATTCATTTTTACATTCAATAGATTTACACTCCACATTGAGTGTAAAATGTCCAGTGTAAAAATCTCTTTACCACTAAATAACCCACAAGCTCAAACAATCTCAAACACTAGCGGTACACAAACTTGAACACCCAACCTAAAAACCCATGAGAACCTGATTGTCTTTTGGGTTTTGTCCATGGGTTTTCCGCTTCCCCGTTGGACAAAACCCAAAAAACAACCGGGCTGTCATGGGTTTTGTCCATGGGTTTTTAGGTCGGGTCTTCATGTTTGTGTACCCCTACTATTTAAAAAGATTACAAAATTAACTTGATCACTTGCAAAATCTCTCAAATGAGCTACAATCTCAATCACCTGAATTCCACGTGAAGTATATTACATACATGATACCAACTCATTTGTAAATAAAACAAAGATTATAGCAATCAGTTACCAGGATCCATTCAGTACAATAAAGTGACTTCCAATAAGAAGCTTCAATAAAGGAGTATATAGACATAAGCCTCCACTTTCCTGTGAGTCTGGAGGACCATTGATAGAGGACATGGGAACCTTTGAATACTCCCATGAGATGACCTATCAAATCTGCACCACTCTATGGTATATTTATTGGACATTACCTTGATGGCTTTCAAGTTCAAAATGTTTTAGAAATAGCATGCTCATGTTGAACTAGCAAGGCACAAAGGCCGTAAGCTGACACTTCAAGTAAAACCTTTTTATTATCTGCACTTTTGAATATGATGACCTTCTGGGTGATGTTGAGGGACAACCAGTAAAATCCTTCTGCTGACTACATATTTTCATCAAGATGGCATCTGGTCTTTTGAAATCTGAATGCAATTGTTGGACTGTTGGATATCATGATTAGGTAACTAAAAATCAAGTGTAAAAATTCCAAATCTATTCTTGGATCACCAATACCATTCACCAATTTATCTACATACATCAATCAATCAAAAGCTATAATAAATCAAATCTATAAAGTAAACTTCATGTTAAAAAAATCTAAATTAAAGCCAACCTGATCTCAAAATCAAACCAAAAAAAATCCAATTAAGTCCAAAGGAAAAAAATGAAAATTATTAAGAAACAAAACTCAAGGTTACTATAATTATAAATTGATCATGTCTCCACAATAAACCCTGTGGTGCTACTTATATCTTTCTCTATATGTTCTATGTTCTATGAATCTATTTACAAAATCAGTATCTATATATGTATATCAAACTCATTTCACCTATCATGAAGATAATCCCAAGCTAATTTCAATTGTTCTAATCCAACAAAGATCAATCTTTACACAAAAAACAAAACATGAAATGATCATTCATACCAAATTCTTATCGATCTACTTATCTTTTTGAATCTAGGAAAAGATTACTTACACTGTATTAGGTCCAAGTCTTATAAACGCAGGTGTCCATCCTCTAAAGATCCAACCGATTCCTTCATTTTTAAATGATTCTTTAATCACACTTATAACTGTAGTACTTTTTGATGTGGTATTCATTATCTATCAACAAAAACGATCGTAAATCAATCAACACTTCCTAGGTCTTTGTGTATTCAATCTGATGAACAAAAATTGAAAGACGCTTACTCGTGATTTGACAACATCAAATGGTGAACAAATCGTAGTAGCTACAGCTCCCTACAAAAGAAACAAAAAAGAAGTGTGCTCATTAGTTTCTCTTTTTTTTGCTACTTGATATACTCGGGCAAATCAAGAAAAATTTCTTAAATCTCCGAAAGACTTACAGCCATTGAACTAGCACAAAAATGCAAATAAAGCCCTTCATCGAAAAATCTAGTATTAAGTAAAGTACATTTGAAACTATCATAACTACTCTCAGCCCCATCAAAAAAGACAAAAATCTTATTCATAAGTTTCAAAAAGAACCCTAGGAATTTAATTTAAAAGAAAAGACTTACGTAGCTAATTGACTTGCATTCATTAAAATCGCTCTAGATATATTCGGACCCAAACCTCTAGCTAAACTTTCAATTCCTTCTTCTCTAATCATCCGAAACAATCCATCAAAGCTGAAAAAGATTTAGTGATCCATTTTGAATTGTTAGAGAAGAAAAAATGAAAAGTATAAAAAAAGGAATGAAAGAAAATATCAATGACTCTCGGATCAGAATTTGATCAGCCAAGTTTAGAATAAGGGGAAAAAATAATAGCTAAAAGAATAGAAAAAGATGAAGTTATCAATGGTGAATCATAAATGAGACCACATCAATGAATTCTATCAAATTCTAAAATCTAGGAACAATATCCTCTTTCTCTCTCTCAAATCTATTCCGAAACCAAAAAAAAATCAAAATTAAGACATCATAATCACCAAACTTAACTCACCAATTTCTATAAAGTTTACGTTGATGAATCGGATAATTAATATCCCCTGTCATCCTCACTAAGATCACATCAGCAGGATTTCCAGCAAACCCACCTATCGCACCAGCCAAACTAGCAGCTAAAACCATTTCAGTAGAAGATATTCTTTTTTTCGCTGGATTTGATGATGATGATGATGAGTTTTGTAAACTAATTAAAGTTTTGATGGAATCATAAATTCCAAATCTGGTTAATGAATATGTCATTTGTCTCAATAATGAAGCTGATAAACCTGTATATGCTCCTTTGATGATTCCATCTGATTTGATGGCTACAAAAAGTGTTTTAATCATTGATCTTGATGGTCCGGTTTGCATTCGTCTATATAAAACAAAATCATACATTCAAGATTTCATCCGATCAGTATCTTGAAAGCTTTATAAATAAAGAGTTTGTGTTATTTACACTTTAGCTACATCTAATGGATGTGTACAAATCGCTGCCATTGAAGCTGCCATCCCTTAAGCATTCAAAAACAAAATCTTCGTTATTCGATCAATCAAAGTTTATTATCCGAAAGCTTTCACTAACCACCAAGCCAGAATGGGTATTGTTTGTATTCATTTGAAGTTGATTTATTTGGAGTTGAAGTTGAAGTTGAGCTTGAAGGTGATGGTAATGGTAATGGGATTGGTAATGAAGAAGGTAATGGTAAAGTAGTTGATAGTGAAATCACATTCGATGAAATGATAAATTGATAATCGTTTTTCATCACTTGAATTGTTTGGTTTCTTGATATGATTTCCTACTTCCTTTCTTTAAAGACTCTGTTCTCTTTGGATGATGAGTTAAATTCGAATTTTGTTCGATTTCTTCCTTTTGATCGATTTCTTTATGATTGATTGATTGAATTCACTTGGTTTCCTATCTTCTGTTTCTTGTTTCTTGTTTCCTGTTTCCTGTTTTCTGTTTTCTGTTTCTTTACTTTCTTGTTTCGTATTCCGATTGACTTGATTACCTTGATTACCTTGATTATTTCTTTTATTTTTTTAATTTTCTGTTTCCATCACTCGACCTTCAAGTTGTTTCTCTCTCTCTTTCTCTTGAACTCTGTTTCCTCTAAATTATTATTTGTCAACCGGATTAAACCCATACTCTGTATTGTTCTAAACCCATGAAACACAATCCATCCACTTCTCATTCTCATCATCATCTTTAAATTTGGATTTCTGGCTTCACGCAAGCTTAATAGTCACTTGTATTCTAGGCTTCATATCAGTCTCAATATTGTTCACAACCTTCAGCTATTTCCTAGCTTAACAACAAGCCCACTGTGCCAGGTGATTTTTCTCGGACTCGTCCGCCCCTGGCACAGGGGGCTTGCACATTAAACGACAATCGTTGCGTGACTAATAGCCACCTTTTGGTGGGTGTTTTTTCACTTCGCTTTTACACCACGACCCACAAATGCATTTTCTTCAAAAAAACAGTCAGATGAGCTCTGTCGAGTTATGAAGGAAATGGCCTCTTCAGAATCTCGACAGAGCTCATGATCGTGTTGATTCATTGAGGCTGCTTATTTTGAGATTTGAAATTTCAACCGCTAAGATTGTTATGTGTACCCTTAAAAAGGCTCGAGAGATGGTCAATTGACTCCCTTAAACAAACTTATTACTCGTTTTCCAGCTCAATTCTTGTGAGCTGGCACTTTTGATTCTCTTTTTTTTCTAATAGAAGTTATGTACAAGATGCTGAACTCATACCAGCCAGTTTCAGAAACAACATCAAAGTAATGTTGAATGAGATAGGATGGGTTGTATCCAAAAGTGACCCAAATTTCACTTTTTGGGGCTATTGGTCACGCCAGAGATGTCGTTTAATGTGCAAGTCCCTCGTGCCTCGGCTTCGGGTTACCGTGAGCTTTTGCACGATTGGACTTGGGTTAAGTTAGAGCTATTTCTAGCGGTCAGTGATACACTGGTTTAATTGGCAAAAATGACTCATTCTCAACATACTTGGTTTGGTTTTGATCTATACCTCAATTCAAAATATCACCTTCAATCAAATAATTAATTCACTTCAACCTCAAAAACAAAACAATAAACATTTGCATCACACACACACTTTCCACAACATTAAAAAACAAAAAACCCATCCTTATAAATTCAAATAAAAATCTAATTTTTTTTTTCTTTCTCTCTTTCTCTCTCTATCTTTTTAAACACTTCTAGTACCAAATGCTCTTCTAACCTTTCTCATCGAAATCCCAACTCCCCAACCAAAACAAAACAAACTCAAACAAACATCTACCAATAAAACAATCAAAACTTGTAACATAAACCTAGGTCCAAAGATTTTCCAAACCATTAAATGTCTTCTTAAGATCGAACAACTTATCAAACAACTTAAACAAATCATCGTATGATAAATAATTAATTTTAAACTATCTTTTAAAATCGAACTGATTAATCCGATTTGAACTCCTTGATTGCGTTTTCCATTCGAAGGGTTGGGTTGATTAATCGAAATCACTGGACTAAAATTCCATATTCTAAATAATGGGATCGATAAACTTGTAATCACAAATCCACTTAATGTATTTAATCCAATCAAGATCGGTGACCAAAGATAATTAGCGGTATTAAATCCAATAAACCCAGTTTTCCATTGAATAGATGAAAATGTAGCTTGATGTCCAGTTCCAAAGAAAATCAAATAACTTAATAAACTTAGACCTGAAATCAATAAAAACCTAGTACTCTCAACTTTAATCGGTTCTTCTTGATTTTCTTTTGATTGAGTTTTAGGTTTTTGTTGAGTGGCTGCATTGACAGCTGATTCAAATGAAACTCTTAATGATTTAACATCATTCAAACTATCATTAATCTCCACTAAAGTAAGTATAGCAATCAAACTAATCGAAAGTACCATTTGTCCAGTAGGTTGAGCCACAAGGAATAATACGCAAAAAGCAGATGATAAGAACATCAAATAAGTTGATCCATATGAATTAGCAAATCCGATCACCAAGACTTTCGGTTTCCCTCCTTTCTCAACTCCTTCATTCTCTTCACGTTGAACATCAATACAAAGTGGAAACAGAAACCAAAGTAATGTTCCACCCAATAAACATAATACTAAATCAAATCTTGCTGCCAAAGTCTTGACCCATCTACCTGTCTCTCTTAATCCTGGATTCGTACTAAGATCTCCATTCGAGATAATATAATCACTAATCCAATATTGTACTCCACATAATAATGAAAGTCGTACCCCAGATCCAAAAAAGACTGAAGCCGGACCTCGATAAGAATCTGCGATGCCTAAAAACCAAGCTAAACCAATAGGTAAACAGATCGCCAACGGTATCAAACTTGTCATCACCCAGTTTGGTGCACTAGAACTTGTCGAACTCGAATAAAAGGTAATCGAACAAAATGGATATTGTTCCTCTCGACACACTGTTGAAGTGGAAATCAACCTCGCGCATACCGCAAACAAGATTGTAAAGAAGAATAATCTGTTCCTCAATCGACTCTGAGGAGCATTCAAAGATTGGATCAAGATCGGTAAGAGTACACAAATCGAGATCAAGTAAAGCACTGCTTTATCTTCCCAAACAGTGTATGAATTGCTTCCTGTCGTCAAGGCGTGTAAGATAAGTGGTATGGCTGAAGCCAACGAACCGAATGATGGACATGTTTCTTTGAGACAGGTCTTCAAGTTACATATTGGACTGGTGGATTTATAGAAGATCATTCCAAGACAGATTCCAGTAGAAGACCCGATCAAAATATTAGAGACTAATGAGGTGGATGTTAACTTCAAAAGAGATATTATCAGCCCAAGTACTGAGCCGAGTAATCCGACCCAAACACCCGTAATAGTGATCAATCGAATCGGAGCGGCTGAACCGGCAGTAGTCCATTTTGTACTATCCATGAGTCTAAAGGAGGCCAACACACTGAGTCCAAGGATGATAATTCCAATGAACATCAGACTAGGATTGAAGCTTGCCCAGATGGTTCGAGAATGCGATAAGAGCCTAGAGCCAAATTGACGATAGGCTTGAAAGGATTTTTCAAACTCTTGATTTCCATAAAACTTCATACCTTGCGCATGCAACTCTCTCAGTTCAGGGACACGAGGTGCCAAATCTTGACCAGGTGAATCAGATGTACCGGCATAAGTTTCAATGAATGATAAGAGCTGCGCTGAATTGATGGAAGTTGATAAAGCTAGACTCTCAAGCGAAGAATAGCTTTGAATCTTTCGAGCACGTAAAGCAGTTGAAGAAGTATCGGTCATCGGTCGATAGAATAATTCTGGTATGATCATACCCAAATTACTGAACGGAATCGGTGAACCCAACAAGAGTGAGATTGTGGGGACGAGATCGATTTGAGGTACCGTACGCACTTTGCCCAATGAAGGTTCAAGCTCTATGAAGTCTGATTCAGTCCATAACCAATCTGGTAGATTTTCAGGCTGTTGAATCAAGGGCTTAGTCTTTGAGTAGAGCCATAAGGCACTCGAGACCTCCATGAAACTGTCACCTCCATGATCACCTTTGGAATCCATACCATGATCTCCCATGACTACTAAAAGGGTATCCTCATCTAATCGATCGACAATGGTTTCTAGGAATGCATTGTATTGTGACAATTTAGATGTCATCGAAGGATGAGAGGGGCCGAAACGGTGACCGGCATGATCGAGGCCAAGAAAATGCCCGATCAGAATATCCCAATGTTGATCGACTTGATAACCAGAGTCATTTGGATCCTTTGAGCCCGTCATCATCTTCAACAAGTGATGCTCGACGCCGGCATCAACCGTATCAAGATCCTCGACATTAAAACTTTCAAAGGGAAAGGTAAGATTCGGGTGAAAGAAGCCAGTCTGTTGTTCGGAGTACTGGGATGCTGATCCAATGTCCGTGGAAGGAGAGCTGCCGAACAAGGTCATCCAAGTATCATCGCCTGCGAACCCAATGACTTTTCCAATCGATTTGAGCTGATGTATCCAACTATCTTCCTCGATGCCCATATTCACGGAAGCAAAATTTGAGCCAGCATCTATAAAGGTAGGCAGAGTACCCGTTGTAAGACCCTTGAGCCTTTGTAGGGTTGTTGTAGGTGCATCTGCTACAAAGTGATAGAGAGCGGAATTTTGAGGTTGTGACTTGGTGAGTCGAGCTGGGAGAGTGAGATGGTTGTGAACGTGCGGTTGAGTGATGAGATCAGTTTGATGTGGTAATAGAAAGTCATAGCGCAAGGCGTCGATGAGGATAATGATCGCCTTTGAGTGAGTTGGCTCGATGAAACATGGTGTGCTGCTGGTGCTAGTAGGGTCACAGTACGATCGATCGTTGATGGTCAATCGAGACAGTAAAAACCCTTGTGAGAAGATATAGAGTGAACATAGATGGACAAAGCCAATGAGGAGTAGGATAAAGGTTGCCAAAAGATGTGAAGGTAAATGTCTAATCAAGCTGAGCTTGAATGTACTCTGAGATCTGATTGGTTTAGGCTAGACTTTGACGAAAAAAGGACAAGTTGTGAGAACAATGTGAAGATCTTGAATGTTAATGAATTACTTACCTTTGATGATGAGGATGGAGACGGTGATACGGTATCAATGGTATTCTTAAGATTATCCCGAGTTTGAGATCCTGGCTGATCTGATTCTGTTGAGTTTTTGTCTTGCATTTCTGCTATTTTTTCGTTTTTGCTTGTGTCCTGATTGTTGTTATCTTGTGTTCTTTGGATTTGTTATTTTATCGAGTTCATGATGACGATGTTGATGGTGGAGTTGCTGAAGATGAGAAAGTGATCGGAGTTGTAGATGATCAAGAAACAGCCGTGTGATGGTCTCGGTACTCGGTACTTGCAATAAAACTGGCAGTTAACTCCATCACTCGGATCATGTACCGCATACAATCAACGAACAACACCACTCGATCTTATCTGATTGCCTCGCCGTCAACGCGAACACGACGAAGACCAAGACCACGAACCGAGCGAAACTATCATCATCACAAAAACCAAAGATATTATCCTTCAGAAAGAGAGTACAAGTTAAAACATTGATTAAGAAACGAGGGAGAACATGAGTTCAAAGCAAGTCACAAATGAATTCCCATCAGATTGGCATGTTCTGTTAGTCATTCCGATTCAGTGCTAAACAGATATCAAGACCACGACTTGGCTGACCTTTAGCACTTTAATATGTTGATGATCATAAAAATCAAAGAACACTGAAGGTTCCAATCAATGATCCAGATCAAGCTCAAATCATCATCAATTCAATCTCAGCAGATAAACCCATCAAATCGCCAATCTTAATCAGAAGACAAATCCAACTTATCTCAAATTCGACAAATCATCTTATTGAATTCAAGATTGCTGCATTAACACTTAGACAAGCTAGAGTGTCAATGGATCATTTGATTAATGATCTCGATTTAGTCATCGAAACTCTTTTGACTTTTTCATCTTGATTGAATTATCTTGATTTTATGTTCATAGGAAAGCTATGTATTACAATCTTGTCAATATGTTATATACCTATTCGTTCACTTCGCTCATCATATAAAAATATAATCAACTTCAGCTTATCACCGTCAGATTTTTCTCGTAACTACACCACGGGGCGACTTTTGGCGTAGAACGGGTGAGCGAGTGAGATTTTGGAACGGCTCAGGTCGCTGTGTTGAAACGGGTGAAGGCCTGGTGATTAAGTCCACGTGGCTGTCACTAGTCCTTGTCACATAGCGAGAGTGTGACAGGGGGTCTCACAGCTTCCTACTGTGATGAACAATGTCATCGTGGGGTGAGCCGATTGAGCGTGATGAATACCTTGCAGCCAATGTGCTCATCACCTAACTTAACCCAAGTCCAATCGTGCAAAAGCTCACGGTAACCCGAAGCCGAGGCACGAGGGACTTGCACATTAAACGACATCTCTGGCGTGACCAATAGCCCCAAAAAGTGAAATTTGGGTCACTTTTGGATACAACCCATCCTATCTCATTCAACATTACTTTGATGTTGTTTCTGAAACTGGCTGGTATGAGTTCAGCATCTTGTACATAACTTCTATTAGAAAAAAAAGAGAATCAAAAGTGCCAGCTCACAAGAATTGAGCTGGAAAACGAGTAATAAGTTTGTTTAAGGGAGTCAATTGACCATCTCTCGAGCCTTTTTAAGGGTACACATAACAATCTTAGCGGTTGAAATTTCAAATCTCAAAATAAGCAGCCTCAATGAATCAACACGATCATGAGCTCTGTCGAGATTCTGAAGAGGCCATTTCCTTCATAACTCGACAGAGCTCATCTGACTGTTTTTTTGAAGAAAATGCATTTGTGGGTCGTGGTGTAAAAGCGAAGTGAAAAAACACCCACCAAAAGGTGGCTATTAGTCACGCAACGATTGTCGTTTAATGTGCAAGCCCCCTGTGCCAGGGGCGGACGAGTCCGAGAAAAATCACCTGGCACAGTGGGCTTGTTGTTAAGCTAGGCTCATCACTCGTTTTCAGATTGAATACGACCCATCCAAACGGCGGGTGGTGAGCGCATTGGCAGACATGTGAGCAACAGGTTAGAATGATTGACATGATGGATACGTATCCACTGACATGCTCATCACCCAATCTCAAATCGAATGAGCACCACCATAACCAGCAGGTGGTGAGCACATCAGCAGATATGTAGCCACCATGTCACCCAGTTCATCTATTGCTAACGTTGATTGTGGGTGATATATACATGGGCTTGAAATCAGGCTGACATCAAAGATGTGCAGCTGACAACAAAGCGATTGATTTTTGAGAAGTCAAGTCCAGTCCAGACAATCGGACAAAAGCCAACTTTGACTTTTTGGGGGGTTCAAAGGCTATTCAGCTCTAAACACGCTCATCGATAACCAGCTCAAGAATCAATCTGAGATTGGATTCTGTGTTACTCACAAAAACATTCTTGTTGTTCGGTTTTCAGAACAAAACATGTGAGTGGAAAGAGGATCTTGATTCCCCTTTCCCCTGTTCTATTTCTCACAACACAAGATAAGATAAATGATGTTTTTAAATCGGTACAAGTCAATCAATTATAAACATTGTAACTGACTGTTGGATTCGAATCATGAGAGCAAGTGTAAAGCACTTTGCCTCTCAAATTCCATGTCATTCATTTCTCACCGTGAAGCCACATTTCTTTCATTCTTTCAAATCCAAAGGATTGTAAAAAAAGAAATGATCAATCGATCAAGCTTTGCTTTGCACAAGAGGCGATAGGCTTAGCTGCTGGAACAATTTGTGATCTCAAGGATCATTTTTGATTGTACTTCAGGCTTTTCGAACAAAAATCGGTCACTGCGTTCTCCTTTGGAGATCATCTTGTTATAAGCAAGATAAAATCCTGACTTGTTCTTTTTTGTTTTTTTCTTTCAGAAAAACATATAAGATGTCGATACATGTCTCAAATGCCTGTAAGCCCATATCATCAAGAAATACAATGTAACACTCACATTGATTTTTTTGGATGTATAAAGATATATCCTTGCTACGCACTGACGTGAAAGGAAAAGAACATTTTGAGTGCCGTTTATGTGGCAGCCGAACCTTCCAGAGTATCCCGATCCACATCAAGACACCTACACATCAGGGACATCTGAATCGACTTGCAGAACGGGCACCTCAACTTCAAGCGCGGCATATATCAGCTTCTGGATTGCAACCTGCACAAGCAGATCATCCTGATATTAACGAAATGGACATTGATGACTCTGATGATGATGAAATCGAGTCTGATGAATCTGTTGATAAAACCGAGTCTGATGAATCTGTTGATAAAACCGAGTCTGATGAATCACGTGTTGAACCCAAGTCTGATGAAGACAATCAATTTGCTGAGTCCATATTTAATTCTCCATGCAGGAGCGAAGCAGACTTTGATATATCTAATTTTGATATATCTAAACTGGATGAAGATACCCTACGGGCTTTCCGACCAGACCCGGAACCTGAATCAAGTGATTCCGATTCTTCCAGCAATCCGGAACTTGATGTATCATCACTATTAGAGTCAAATCAAGAATCCGAATGGTACCCTTTCAAAAAAAAAGAAGTACGTCTTCTTTTGTTTGATCTGCCGTCCAACCTTCAACAAATTCTGAAATCCATTCAAAATTTGTAAGCTGATGAGAGTCATTTATGTCAAGTAGCATTTCGGGTCCATGCTCTTGATTGGATATTCAAGAAATGTGATGGCAAGAGCCAAATATGAGCGTGTATGGGCAATTGTGGCATTCTGTGGATTAGTTTTTCCAACATACAACACCGCTCGAGACATACGTGAACGCCTTAAGAAGCGCATTGGTCTGAATGTTGCTGAGAAGGAAAGCCCCTTGGGAAATCCTTGTTTTGGATTGAGTATAAATGAAGTTATTGCTCAAGTGAGTTTTTTTTTGAGCCGAAGTAGGATCAAAATTGACCATAAATGCTTTGTTGTAGGAACTGTCCAATCCACTTGTCAGTCCTCATTTGGTTGTCATCCCGGAGGCCGTAGGCGATGAACCCATCAACCGCCTTTCACAATCAAAGAAATGGAGAGAATCTTATTCTAGAGATCTGCGTGTCCCCATGATCATGCACAAATCATTACATTACTACATCTATGAGCCCGTTCAGCTTCTTTCAGGTGTCATCTTTGTTCCAATTCATTTCTATCAGCAAAGCGGTATCATTCATGCCAAATGTTTCAAGCTCAATGCGCAAATAGCAACAATTAACTCTAGTGTAGAGCTCTCGATCCCTGAAGAGGAAGATTGGAACTCGGGGAATTATGAAATAATTTCAGCACACGATTTTTATTGTCCATATCCCAACTTGAAGTTGTCAGACGGTCGAATGCTGAAGGATGTTTGTAATAATAAGATCATGTGTGTGTATCTATTCATCTATCTATCATTCATCTCTGCTTTGTTCTGATTGTTTCTCTGTTTATAATTCAGAACCAGATGGTGAAGACATCGTGTCTATTCCTTTACCAAATCCTTGGCGTGTCCGTGCAAATGGATTGTTAATCCAACATGTCCCCGTGGTTCTTTATTCTGATGATACATCCGGCAACATATCAAAGAAGTGGAACAAGCATATGTCAATATACACCACACTTGCCGGCTTACCTCCAAAGCTTTCTAATCAAGAATACAACATCCACTTTTTAGCTACAACAAATACGGCTAATGCACTTGAGCTTATTGGAAGAACTGTAGATGAGTTTGAGTATGTATAATCTTAATTACCTCTTCTTTGTCATAACATCACAACTTATCCAGGATTTTCTTGTGTTTTCTGATTTAGAGAGATCAACAGCAATGGATTTGTTGCTTACAATTCCTCGTTGAAGACAAATGTACTTGTAAACACAGTACCTCTCTGTCATTGTGGCGACTCTCCGATGCACGCGGAGATCTCAAACACTACCAATCCATCCATGACGCTCAACCCCTGCCGGATATGTGACTTGAGTGTTGAATCTCAAGCCAAGAAGCATTCGGAAAGTTATATCAAGGATTTCTTAGCTATTGATGATGTCGGCATAGTTGTACGTCACTTACTTTGTCCAAAAAATGATGGAACAATCTAATTATTCTTTTGTTCTAGAAACCATTCCGCTTTCGTGATTGGAAGGTCACCAAAGCCCGTTCGAAAGAACTCTGGAAGCTAGTCCAACAGCCAAGATGTTGGAAGTATTTTTCCGAGCTATCAAAAGAATACGGAATACGAGACAGTATCAACTTAAGATTTATTCAACATATTAGAGATATGCCTAGAAAGACAAAATCCAATAAGAAAGCTATCTTGGATAAATGTGAATCACTCGATGAAGAGTTCGGCGACTTGTTGTTTAACCAACTCTTAGATCTCAAGGGTGTGTCATTCTTTAATCATTCAAAATTCACTTTAATTGAACTCCATTTGTCAATCAGGTTTTGACGGTCACCAAGATACTCCGGTAGAGTGCTTACACGTTGTTCTTCTTGGGGTTGTCAAATATCTTTATGGTGACACAATTGCCTCCATTCCAAAAAGCAATCATCACAAGGTCAAAGCACGATACGCATCTTTTGACATCTCTGGACTTAACATTGCACCGATTATACCTTCAACTATGATAGATAATGCAAAGAGCTTGGTGGGGAAAGAGTTTGGTGTGGTCATGCAGACAGCATTCTACGTTTTATACGAACATCTTGATGAAGATCACCGGCTGCTCTGGAGCTACCTCTCTCGTCTTGGTTCTTATGTCTTCCAGCCAGAAATCCCAGACCTCACTCTCTATCTTTCCGAACTCAAAACTGTCATCCGATGCTTCTTAAACCAACTGATCAAAATCTCAGCGCAATGGACCAACAAGCCTAAATATCACATGTTACTTCATCTCGCAGATTCGATTGAGCGGCTGGGTCCGGCAATTCTTTTTGCAACTCAAAAGTTTGAAAGTTACAATGGTGTCACTCGTAAAGCGTCTATCCATTCGAACCATCAGAGTCCTGGACATGACATTGCCCAGACATTCAATACTGAGGCGGCCTTTGTGCACACCTGGGCGCCAGTGAGTCACTCTCCACGTGCCTCTTCTGAAAAGCGTGCTCTGGTAGTGTTTTTAAACTCTGTCTCTCTTATTGTAGCCTCAAGCGACCAAGCTATGCATGGAAAACATTGGGAAAAATTTAATCGAGCAGGTTTGTATCACGCGTCCTTTTCTTTCTTCATAGCAGTGCAATCATAAATTGTATTTCACGTTCTAATATATTTTGTTGGGCTTTAACACTTGATCATCGGTTAGGATGAATATCCCAAGACAGAAGTAAGTTTTCCTTCACGGTCTTGGGATCTAGAAGAGGATCGAAACCTCCTTACAGCCTAATTACCTTGTAGGTTCTACATGGAAGATGTTCAAATATAGTCGCAGACTTGTGGCATGCACCGCAGTCTGTAGATGCTATAGCAAATTACGAAATTAGTATTTGAATTACTTCAGATCAAAAGCTCATTCTTTGTTTTGGATAGGTACTGCAACCGCCGGATCCTCAGAAGGAAGTTGATAATGAAAACTCAAAAAAATCCTCAACCTTTTATGAATCTTTTTGGGTCTGTTACCATTGTATGTTTGTCCTTGGATTAGCACCATTGTTGTGTTTTTGTGGTAGTTCTTGGAAATACATTAGTCTAAACAGTTGTGTCTTCTTGATTGCATGTTCATTTTTTTTTTCATGCTTACAGTATCCATACCCCACTTTACCATTCTTTTCTTTTCTTTTTTGCACTGCAAGGTTGTTTAGACTTGATATTGCACAGATTTATGTCGTGGTAAGCAATAATCTGCTTAGATTGGATTCATATCTGATTCATAAACTGAACAACAAGCAAAAGATGACAACCAAAGTTTTCACTGCAACACAATTGAAAGATTCATCCATAGCACTTGGAAATATAGGTTCTGTATCAGATCAATCAATCAATCATGGGACTAATCTCAACAGCTACACATGGATCTGGAGCTCACCTCGGGCCCCATTCTAGTTAAAAAAAGCAATATCTTTAATCAAGCTCAAACTTTGATAGTTTGAATTCCTTCTCTTTGACCCATGCAGCTTTGATCTCAAACTTTTCCCCAATCAACACTCAACTGAAGTTTCCATTGTTTCAGCATCTTTCATGTTCATGATAAATTCGGATAGGGAATAGGCACCAATCTCAAGTCTCATCTCAAGAATTGCTTCCTTTTGTTCAAGGAAAGCTGATGATGCAATCAAATCAACACATCATTGGTCAAACGGCTTGAATCACCTGGTCAACTCATCATCGGTTAAACAGCTCAAATCGCCTGCTCAACTCATCAGTGGTGAAACCACTCGAGGTGAGCTGATGTGCATGATCTTCAATACCATCTGTCATCCATGTCCTATATAACGGGATCAATGATCCACTCACCTCAATCAAGGATTCAAGATTGTAAGTGTTTTACATTGTTGTTTTATCCCTCTGATTATCCGTATCACCATTCCTCATTGTCTTTATCCTCACTTCATTTCAGTTTGTTTTGAATCGTTCTACGTATTGAAACCTATTCCAACCTTTTGAAAAGTCTCGTGATGCAAGGTGAGCTTGATCAATCTTTTAGGGCCCGTTTGGTTGCCAGAGATTATCACATACTACAGTAAAAGTGTACTGCATTAATGGACCTGAAACCACAGTAAAAGTTTCAACTCACAATTAATCGCAGTACAAAAGTAAACGGTGGTAATTGACAATAATCGTTTGGCAACTCAAAACCACAGCGACATTATAGCGCTTGTGGAAACTGGTGGTTTTTGATCTTTACTCTGATAATGAACAGTCTCATTATCAATGCTTCATTGATCAGGCTCATCGACATCTCTTGTTTACTCACTCAATTGACCATCTCAACTTGCTGCAAGATAGGGTAACGGATCATCAAACGTTTAATGCAATTACATTTTAATTCCACAATATTGTTTTTGAATCAAGCTTGATCAAAAAGATCATACAAGGTTTCTATCATCATCATTACCATCATGCAAATCTTCATTTCCATTTGGGTGTCATGTTGACTTGCAATTCATGTAACAAAACCAAGTGCCAATAGAGATAAGGTGATGATATCGAGAAGTATAGATAAAGCGATGGTATTGAGAAGATTATATTGAGAAGTTGATAATGATATTGGTAACTTGGGTCTTGATGAGATTAACAAAAAGATGGCATTGATGATGTGATGATATCAATAACTGATTGTAGAGTGATGAGAATGAGAGATATGAGATGAGTTGAAGCGAAGATGAGATCTGATGACTGCATGCAAGGACGTGATGAAGTCGATCGAAGATGCAATGGGGTCGAAGATGCAACAAGGCCGATTAAAGATGTGATGAAGTTGAAGGAACGCTCCGGTGATAGAAGTGTTGATGTGTAGAAGTGTTGGTACGTCAAAGCAGTGTTGATCAAGGTGGTGTTGGTGGCGAGGCCAAGAGGTAAGTTTTCGACAAGTGCCCTTCTCACGTACGGATTTGATCCGATTACAAGCAGAATAAACGGAAAAAGGAGTTTATAGAATTAATACCGCTTATGAGATTATTCAACAAATAATGTGGTAAGATAATCCGTGTTTTTGGGCTACCAAACAGTGAAAAAATAGTTGCGATTATTTTACTGTGGTATTGGCATAATCGCAGTAAAATAATCGCAACCAAACGGGCCCTTAATCTCTTCTTTGCTGACTACCTTGGCATTCTGTAGATCACTCTGATGATAGTTCCGAATCCGATTCAGAAGAACCGCAACAGTCCACGCAAAGCAAGTAGTTGACTTATATCTCATGTTTTCTGAATCTCATGGTGGCTATTCCTCTACTCAGTACGAAACAAGCGAGGTCCCGATTCAAACCCCTCTCAACCGACATCCAGTGGCTCACGTGCTCGAATTGAAGATGCATTACCCGATGCCAGGACCATCGCTATGTTTTCGGCTCCCACCTTTTCAGCGCCATTCATCTTGCCAAATAGTTCAAAAACCCACCTAAAGCTCATTGCAGACAAGCTTGGTCTTACGCCTGAGAACCATCAGTTGGCTCTTCAGATATGTGGGGTATGTACATTACTCTTTCACCCGTTTTGTCTTTCTCAGACGCTGATGGCTTCTCTTCAGGCCACTCGCCCAGAAGACCAATTTGTGACATCGATTGGCTTTCTTTCATACTTGAAGCAAAAGTCTGATGAGCCGACCCAGACTCATACCAAGGGGTCTGACTGGGCTCCCACTAGCGAATTAAAGGTTAGTAGCTGACCATCTACCCACTACTAGTACTTAATATATACTTATCAAGTCTCTTTTCATCTCGGTTCCTAGGATGCGATTCGACCAGAGTTGAATGCTTTGATCATGGACCTTGGAATAGTATCATACAGCCGCACTGTTGATCTCAATCAACGTTTGATATCTAACTCCTTTGATCAAGCATGTGTTGTGAGGATTTCACTCACTCTTCTTATTTCCATCACTCTTCTTTGTTCTTTATCAAAGTACCAATTGTTTTATCCATTTCAGATCCACCTCCAAAGCAAAGATAGATCGTTTATTAAATTTCATTATCCACCTGGCTATGAAACCGAGGAAGGGAACGAAGCCCACAAGGCTATGCTAGCCTTTTACAAGACACAAGCTGTTGCAACTCGTAGTCGATTACGTGGGGTGGTAAGTAAACAATACACCGATCTCATTATTGCCATAGCCGAATCCTGATCAAGACTCTTTTGTAGCTCCTGACCAACGTCCTCCCTATCAATAGCCAAATGTCAAAGCGTCCCATGCCGGGTCTTGCACAACTGATGGCTCTGGTAAGTCTTGATCTTTTTTTACTCGACTTATCAATTTCTTTGGAGCTGAGATTAATGTTTGAGTAGATCTGTCGTGGTCTCATAAACACACATGATACTCGATCCGAGACAGAGATATTTGACACTTCTCCCAAATCCTTTCGGCAACGTGTGGCCTTTCTGGTTAGTCTTGCATTCCACTCCTTGTTTTTTTCTCTAAATCTTTGTCTGTATGATACTATAGCTGACTTTCATCTTTTCCTAGCGTGTACATGCTGTAGCCTCTCATAGAAACCCTTCCTCAAATGGTCGTAGATTTCTTTGGGATTACATCGATGAGGCCCTATTGAGCTTGAAGGAGAAGCATGCAGGCAGAGATCGCAGTATGTATAAAAAAGCGTAGGTAGATATCTTCTCTCTTGTTGGTTTATCTGGCTGAAGAGAATTGTTTCACTCACATAGGTATTACAAGGTCATCATGGACCTTAACTATTGATTATATGAGCAAGATACTGTCTATACTGATGTTCCTGAAGACCAAAGACTATTAGGCCCTGACCCAGACCGAGTTATGGAGCAGTACAACATTCTGGAAGCAGAAAAAAACGCTGAAGCAGCACATGAAACTGAAGAAGCACATGAAACTGAAGCTGGTAGTTGAACATAATTTTTGGTGTTCTTTTGATATTTGTATTTCATGGTTTTGAAACTGTTTCATCCTTATTATGTATTAGATTTTTCTCATTGTTAATGCATTAAAAAACTATGTACAATAATTGAGCATGGCTGTTTCAAGTAATTACACAATGACAACATTGGCTAAATGACCCAGTGACTACATTAGTTAGCTCACTCGATAATAGTGTGAGCTGACTGACCCAATGATTACACGATCCAGCTTACCCAATGAACGTGTCAGTCAGCTCACGTGATAATTGGGTGAGCTGGATCGTGTAATCATTGGGTCAGTCAGCTCACCCAATGAACATGTTAGTCAGCTCACCCAATGACTACATGAGCTACTACATGTAGTCATCAGGTAAGTCAGCTCACCCAATGACTACATGAGCTACTACATGTAGTCTTTGGTTAAGACAGCTCACGTGATGACTACATGAGCCACTACATGTAGTCATTGGGTGAGCTACTACATGTAGTCTTTGGGTAAGTCAGCTCACGTGATGACTACATGAGCCACTACATGTAGTCATTGGGTGAGCTACTACATGTAGTCTTTGGGTAAGTCAGCTCACGTGATGACTACATGAGCCACTACATGTAGTCATTGGGTGAGCTACTACATGTAGTCTTTGGGTAAGTCAGCTCACGTGATGACTACATGAGCCACTACATGTAGTCATTGGGTGAGCTACTACATGTAGTCTTTGGGTAAGTCAGCTCACGTGATGACTACATGAGCCACTACATGTAGTCATTGGGTGAGCTACTACATGTAGTCTTTGGGTGAGCTACTACATGTAGTCTTTGGGTGAGCTGACTTGCCTGATGACTACATGAGCCACTACATGTAGTCATTGGGTGAGCTACTACATATAGTCTTTGGGTTAGCTGACTCACCCGATGACCACGTGTATTGGCTCATGTAGTCATTGGGTGAGCTACTACATGTAGTCTTTGGGTAAGCTGACTCACCTGATGACTACATGAGCTACTACACGTGCTCATTGGGTGAGCTACTACATGTAGTAATTGGGTGAGCTGACTCACCTGATGACTACATGTAGTAGCTCACCCGATGACTACATGAGCCAATACATCTTGCATATGTAACAGGCTGGGTGACAGCCACCTCAGCTGTAACGTAGTGGCTATTCAAAATAGTCCAATGTTACCCTCACCCATCCTTATGAGGGGGCCGGTAGGATACGTATTGGTCACGTTTGAGTCGCCCCGTGGTGTAGGACTACACTCTTAATTATGATAGCCAAAAGTCTCTGTACCGAATAAAAACCTTCAAGATCATGTATTTAGAACTTTCCTTTTTTCGGCTTTCTCTGATGACATTCTAAGAGCAGAAAAACAACAAAATTGATGAAAATCAGACATATATAACTTGTAAGGGATCAGTTTCAAGACAAATTGAAATCATTTTGGAAGACAGGATTCGTATATGTATCCAAATCCAGCATGAAATTGAAAATATCAGGGCACTCATGCAGATGGCCAGCTTTTGTGCCCCCCACGATCCGCCTCTTAGGTACAGGGACCTCTCTCCAGAAGATGACCGCAAGGCGGAATGGAGACTTGGCTGGGCTCATGGAACCAGAAAAAAAATATGGAAATGACGTTTGCTTTTAGATCATAGATGTCTAGATTGAGAGCGTCTCCAATTGCCACTTGAAATATCTATAGCGCCACTCTGAGATCTGGAATGAAAACTGTACAAAAGAAGTCTACACCCTATATACTTGGGTAGAAAGATTTTGTAGGGCCCTCATTTAATTTCAAACCAGCTCAGGTTTACCTACTTGACACATGGCGATCTATAAGCAGCTTCTGTCACTGTGATTTCTCCTAATCCTCTCTTGACATGATTCATTTGATATATTTTGTTTGAGAGCATACAACGATTTCACAGGCCCCTGCTCAAGTTAGAGTGTGAATAAATCATAGAAAGTATAACAATGAGAGTGTGTAGTAGGACTTTCTTTGGGTTGAACTCAAAAGAAGCTTGATACGTATAGAATGACTAACCCTCTTCAGAAAGTGTTTGGAGACCATGAACAAGCAGGTGCTAGGAGGACGCCTGATAGACCGTCATAGGTGCATCTTGCCAAGTCCTACTCTCAAAGACATGAAGCTTTGTCTTCAGACCGTGATATCCAGATAAAGATACATTTTTTCCTCCTACAGATTGATGATCTCAGCAGTGGGCTGATAAGATGATTTTATGAAGGAGAAACTATGCTTTTGCAACTCGGGTTACATTGGGTAGAGGAAACACAATGGAAAATAAGACGGACAAAGTTTATATTGGCTTATATCAAGCCGATTTTCAATTACCTGGAGATACAAACTTGGTCCAAAATGGCTAAGGGTAAATTTGTTGCAGCATCTTTATCCGTTCAGACAATAAGAGTTTGTTCGTTCATCGAACCATTACCTTGTTGACACACTTGCATTTTTCTTAAATCAGACAATGCTCCACTTTGGAAGATGACCGTTGATTTTAAGAATTTGATGGGGGAGGTTGGATGCTTATCTCAGAGGCGGAGAGGCAACTGGTGTTGGGACTGTAAGGCTACATCATGAACTCAGATCCGAATTGGATTTCAAGCTTAACAATCAACAGATAGTTAAGCTTTCGGCTAAATGAGTACGAGGATAAAACAAAGTCATGCTGAATTGGATTTGATTTAAGCAAACGATAAGAGATGCTCTAATATAACAAAATAAAAAACGCACAATCCAAATCTACTTTCCTTCCTTTTCACATTCCTCAAAAAAATAAACAATGAAAAAGTAAAATGATAGAACAATATTTTGGTACTGCAAAAAGGTTGAATCTATATTTTATGTACTTTGAAATGTAAACAAATGCCCACTTAAGCAATACACTTATTGTTCAATATATTTCCCCATTTCAACAATAAAAGACGTGAATAAGACTAAAGAAGACAGATAGGAGGAAAAAAAGGTCCATTGATTTGTGTGGGTCTCAAAACAGAAAAAATACAAAGTAGAAAACGATACCCTGCGATTTGATAAAAGGGAAAGAGGACCGGTGTAATGAGATTTGATGTTCATCCGACCTCGAGTCAAAGCTTTGAGTTGAGATTTTTCAAGTCGAAAAAGGCCTTGGAACTTATTTAGATTCTTCTTCCAGAGAAGATGTGGATGGTTGATAATTCTCTTCCGATAGAAAGTTTTCTAGAATCAGTACCATAGAGCCTACTTGAATCACGATCAATTGGTCTTGCGGCGAGTAACGCATCCTCTAAGGCACCATCCAATAAAGGATCATCAGATATGCCAAGTGCGTGTCTTTGACTGACTGGGCGTTCGAGAGCTGACTCGTTGCGAGATTTTTCTCTTCGTTTGCTACTCGGAATCGCTTCCCTTGTCTCGCTTGGCTTGACGTTTCCAATCGGGTTTGAAATTTTGGCGGCATTGGATCCCAATTGATCAGAAGAGTTGGGTACAAGGTCTCCAAGCATGACTTCCAATCTAGAAAGTCGAGCGTCTAGAGTCGTGATGTAGCCTCTTGCATGTGGACGTTTGCTAGCGGTCTCGAAGCTTTCCTTGCCCGTCACCGAAGCGGCTGAATGAGAGGTAACTGGGGATGATGTTGAAGACTTTGATGCATTGGAGCGAGCTGAACCATTGCGGTTAGAAGATGGTGCAACAGGTGTCTTAAAGGCCCTCTGCGGTGATGCGTTGAGAAGGTCGTTATTCTGATACGGGTAATTGACATTGGGGGAAGGAACTATGGCAGATTGGTTGGAGTAGTTTGGACTTGAGCCATACCCAGTGAACCTCGAAGGCGGAGAGAAAGATGGTGTTTGAGGGCAATGGCTGGCAGAATATCTCGTGTTGGTTGGGTTGTTGGTATAAGCTAAAGTATTGGCTAGGCAACGGTCACAGACCTCTAGCAAAGGTGATGCTGAACCTTGAGCATCAGTAGCTCGAGTACATTGATACTGACTGCCACAAGTTTCACCTGTAGAGTTTGACAGATTTATAAGAAATTTGAGTCAGTATTCATGAGCTGACAAAATATTATATGATTATCTGACTACTTGATGAGCAATGTGAAAATTGAATCAGTCAAAAGAACTTACAGGTTCGTTGTGGTAGTGATTGAGAATTGAAATCAAACCTTCCATAATCGTAAAGGTTTTGCTTGGTGGAAGTCAACTCGTGATCTGGTTTCCCAGGGAATGTCGAGGTCAATACAGAGTGAGAGCTTTGTAAATGATGCTGGATTTCCAAACCTGAGTAATGTGACGTAGGTGTGGCCATGCTATGTACAGGAAGATAACCCTTAGGATAGAGTTGTGATTGCTGCATTGACACGCCAGGATATGGAAAGGAGGGTGATGGTAAACAGTCCCGGTTGCTTCTCGATGATCGCGGGTGAGACATCTTTGAGATAGAGTAAGTTAAAAGTGATTGATTGTGAAGTGATGATATGCAATCTTTCTTTGCCACAGATACCAAGCCAATGCTTCGAGTTAAGATCACAAAAAAAGGGATAATCAAAATGTTTATTATCTATAATCACACTGTCGAGGTTGCTCTACTTTGACTTCTTTCTGTGTTATATTTTTCTTCTATGGCTTCAACCTGATGATATCGGAGGAGATTACTTGATCTTGGATATTAACATTCAGATAATCTTCGATAATACGCCGGCCGAAACAGCAAAGAAGTTTTGTCTTACAAGAAGAGTCATTCACTGTCCGCTCCTTCCGAGTAACACATAGGAGCAGACGATTTATACCCTTCGGCATCTTGAAGATATGAAAGATACATGGTCAAAGTGCAAGATTGAACATTCTCATTCAGAACAAATCCGTCTATTCCGGGAACCGCATGTTTGCCACATGTCTGTGTACAGTATCAGGATCAAAATCGACACGAGTGCTTGGCCTTGAGATGAAACGAGAAGAAGCTAGAGGGTTTATTCTGACGTCAAGAATATTTCAACATACAGTCATGCTAGAGATTCACTGTTACTTTTCTGGAATCTCATTCATTCCAAGCTCGCCGTGTAATTCACCAATCATGATTATCTTCCATCCCAGCTTCAGTTCACATACGTAGCCTACCTCACGGCATGATTCCCAAAGGGGACCATTACAAAAGAATTTTCTGATCTCTTCGGATTGTCCGAGATTCCTTGTTAGCATACTTCTAGCCTCGGAACCAGGTCTCCGGCGTGAACTTCGGTCCTCCGAGTTCAAGTTTCGAGCCTGATGGGACCAATGTGATTACGATACCCCATAAACCTTGAGACTCGTGGTGGCAGTGAGGTGTGCATTGTGCAAACCAGTATAGTACCAATACTTCTTTGTGGCGACATAAGTAGGTGGCTTCTGAACAGTTTAGTATTCAGTACGAAAAGGGTGACTTCTAGGCAACAACCACGCGCCAAGCTTGGCATCACCCACCCTCAAGACTGCACCGTGTTCATAACCGGACCAGGTCTTGGCGAAAATCACGATGCCCTTTCTTCTTGACCTTACCCTTGGAATCTCACCGGTGTGGAATCTACACCGAGTCTATTTACGTGTGACTCGTGAGTAACACACCGGTGGAGTACATAACATGCGGTGAGCATACTTTTCTGTACTAGGTTCTTTCCAGCTCGGAGGAGGCAGTGGACTTGAGCAACTGGCACCGCTCGAAGAGTAGAAAGTCCCGGGTGACTAACTCCATTGATATCCCCCCATGAGGTTGTTTCACTCCTCATATATGAGCAGTACATTTGTTAAGGAAAACGCATTCAGAGAATACAATTGACATTGTACTGGTTGATGTCTATGTACTTCTCTCAGAGTCCACAGCAGAGTTTGCCGTTTGAGCCCACCCATGTCTCATCATCCCTTGCCGCAAGCAACCTAGATATCATTCACAGTCTTCTTTCTTTAGTGCCTGTGCGCAAATGAAGTTGATAGTTTCAAGAAGCTCAACGTTTCAGAAAGTGATCCAAAACATATGACATGTGCTCTCACTTCGGTGAGATTGCCGTCATGTCTTGCGAGCGGTTACTTTCCTCGAGTAATCCAAGTGCAGATATAAAGATGACAATTATCTTTGTTAAACCACACATTTCCAATAAATACCCTCTTTATCAGGGACAAAATTCCGCATCCACAGACTGCTATGACAGGCTTTTATCCCAAACATGATCATAGACCAACCCGTGCTCTACCCCAATGTGAATCATTGAACATCAAACAACCTGGGGTTTGATGCGACTTTACTGTCTTCTTTATCAGAAGCCCCACGAAATGGATAACAGATACTTGAGAACAGCCTCAAGTAAATGAGAGCAGACGAAACCCCGGCTATTTTGTGGAGAAAGCCCAGGCGCTTCACCTTGGCAAAGTTGGTGCGGATATCATTTGCCAAATCATGCCTGTCGTGGGGTTGGTGAATGCTTTTGTGTACAGCGATATCCGGGGTTAATCAAAAAAGAGTTTCACCAAGAAAATGTGTATGTATAATCCTACAATTGTGTGTATCCACAAGACTCGAGACAAAGAAACATATATTGTCGAACAATCCAATTTATAACAAAGCCCACAATCACGCTCTGCAGGATATTATCATTCATTCGCCAATTGTGAAAGGTCTTTGATCATTCCTCGCAACAAATTTGATAACGTATCAAACGCATCGAGTAATCCTGCGTCTGGCTGTTGAGCTTTCCAAGCATGCGCAAAATCTATCAATTTTACAATTCCCAAGAACCGGTCTTCGGTGATGTTATCACCTTCGAAAGCACGGGAAAGAGCCTCGCTGTCACCTTCATAAACCACTAGCAAGCTCGAACCGTATACCTGCCACTCGAATCTCGATACATGATTGGACAATCGATTGAAACGTGGTAGTAGCACGTCCTCCAAAAGTCTTGCCATCAATATTGCTGGAATACCTCCAGGGCTCACAGTCAATCGAGAGGAGTATTGGTTCCCTTGTAATGTTTCTCCATCTGGTAGCGCAATGGGAAAGAAACGGGAAAATCCCGCTTTGAGGTCTGAGCCCTGTGGATCGAGCGACTTCCCAAACGTCTTTGGTAATGTTTCATATGCCCTGGTATCGTTGTTCCACACCTGTTCAAATATTGAAAAACCGCGTCAAGGATTGTTCGTGCCAGGCAGTAAAATCGAATATCATTAACAACAGCGATCGTTCGTTCAACATCTTACCTTTCCTCCGGTCAAACGGATCCCAAAGCGAGCCGAAGTGGTCTCAGCTGCAGTTCGAGTCATCCGTTCTTTTTTCTCTTCGGAGGCGTCGTTGTCATATAGTTGTTTGCCTAGCTTGATATCGAGGACATTGGGGTGTGTGAACCCGGTTCGCAAGGTGGGGTTGGTGCAGATAGGAACCAAGTTTTCGAGTACGATAAATACTTCGTCCGTCTGTAAGAAAGAAGTCATTGATTTAACATCACAACCTGTTGGTTATCCTGGTAATGTAGGAAGAGATAGAACCGACTGATGATTCCTTTTCGGGCGGCTGTCGACCGTAGAATACGGGCCTCCAACCTGACCAGATGCTCGGAGAGTGAACTGCATCCAACTGATGAACGAGATCTTCATAGAATTCGACCTCACGAGGACAGGCTCGCTTCATGATTTTGGTTTCATCGCTGGGATGGCTCTGAACGATATCAGGGTGACCCCCTACTTGTAGCGATTCACTGGTAGCCATCGTTAAGGGCTTGAAGCTTTTGGGATTGACGCTGACTCGAGTGTTGACTTCGAGGAAACTTACACAAATGCAGAGCTGTAGTACCGCACGAGCGGCTGGTCCGCCGTGGGCCCGCCTTGCGTCGAGTTGTGTGTATATGTGCAACGTAAACCAGGTTTAACCTCAAGTTGAAAGAGGTTCAAAGGAAGTACATTCAGATATCTTGAAGAAGATTGCTAGGCATTACGTACTACCTTCGTATTATCTATCAAAGAGGAAGTCAGGCTAGTTCCGGCCTTTGTGGTTTTTCCATGATCAGTGTGGATAGCCGTCTTGTCTCCGCCATGTAAATTGTTCTCCCTTCAGTCAAGTTTCTTCCAGTGTAGTTGAGTATATTCCGATGAATTGAGGACTGTGAAGTCTTTTCCGTTGAGGTAAAATCAAATGACAACACCTCACTCTAACTCATTGACATTTTTGCCAGTAAGTCTATTCCTAGCTCGTGATCAGGTACTTCTGGAGGGCCAATAACGGGCTTCACAAGGCAAAGTCGGTAAAGGAAGGCGAGTCTATCTGTTGGCAGGAATTTATGACGCTTTTTTACCAATTGCCACATATGGTCCCTGAAATGTGATACTTGGACAGTCCTCTACTTGGTATTTCTGTGCTTCATTTCAACGATGCACAAGGCTGTGGCGGCAGGATTTCTAATTGAATGCCTCAAGCTGATACTCGTCAAACTAAAACGTCAAAGTTTGTGAGGTTTATTACTTTTCATGCAGACCTGAATTGTCCTCATTATTTATACAAATTATAACACGAGAAAGATACAACATCACCACAAAAAAAACTATTAATAACAAAAGAATTTTATAAAAGCAAAATTATATTAGTCAAAAATTATACAAGTGGCAGATGGAACTATTAGGTAAGGATCAAATGTAGTATGCAATGTGACAATTAGGATTAAGATTAGAGTGGTTGGGATGTATAAGCATTTGAAGAATGTTTAAATGTCATTTGAAATAGATTATTGATATCAGTGTATATCACAAAACATGAAGGAATAACAAGTGATAAAGGCAAGCTATAAAGATGTTATAAAAAGTAGCGCCATAGACTCAGAATGAGCGGGCGAGGTGAGATATATCCTATGGACCCGCAGGTCTGTCAGCTCAAAGTGCTGTCAAGATTGAAAGTCCAACAATGCCATTTATGGTGTGGGTGTCTAATTATCTTCATCAGTCCTACATCACATTAGCGTGTTACATCCACACAAGTAAGTATTTGCAATCAGATGTCGGCAGTGATGTCCTCTGCAAGGTGTGATGTATGATAGTCACAAGAAGAGTAAAGGCTAGGATGAGAAAGATGCTGGCGGAGAGCTGCATAATTATGTATGTTTGAACAAGAGTTATTCAATGGTATTGATGTGTTCTTCAAGGAGAGCAAGAATTGAATTAATGTAATATTGTCAAGAGGAATTGGTGATATAGAATAGGATGATTTTTGTCAAAGGCCCACAAATCCCCTGTGCTTTCTATGCAATATGTATACCACTTGAGGGGTTGGCTTCTTTGGCGGCCCACTGTTCAAACCAAGATCATGGACATGTGTCTTCCGAATCCAAGAAGCCAGTGTACCTATGGATCATGATGAATAGCCCCAAGAATCAAGTTCAAGCCACGTGAAGTTGATCAAATAAGGGGTTCAAGTTGGAAATATGCCTAAAATGTAAGTTCTATACATCAAAATGCTACTCAAAAATCAAATCTTGAAAATACTATTGGAAAGCCCCACCTGAGATTCAAGAAGCACATTCCTAGCAATTTTATTTCTCCAAAAAATAATCTGGGGAGGCTGGGAGGCCAAAGTGCATAAATTTTTAGGCAATTTTTGGCCAACTTGAACCCCACTGATACAATGACACGTAGGTCAAGGATTAGACCTCTGAGACTGTGATCATCTTACACTGGCAGAATTGACCACAAAGAGCAAAAAGCAAGCCTTTGACTCTCGCAAGACTTGTGCCATTCAACTTTGCAGCTTGGCTATGAATAATATTTTTGACTTGATCAAATTTTCTCAAATCATGATGTCTACAATTATTCCACATCTTCCACCCATTCTGAAACCTTTGGCTTGCATGATACAGGGTGTGCAGCTCTTCAATCCGAGAGTTTGTGTATGTACCTCACTAAGCTTTGGAACGGATCAGGATCAAGATCCCTTTTGTTGAGATTACAGAATCATTTGTCATGCCACCATGATTGAGCGGAACAGAAAGCAATCACCCTATTTAGTATTGTCACAAGTAATCGCGCTGCAATAGCCAACTTACCCCTTTGGACCCTTTCACTCTCGTTGGTTGCAAAATTAAGCATTAAGAATCTGCTATTGTTGCATTTGTTTCTTTTTTCAATCGCATCATCTTCACTAGCTACTAAAGCCAAGATCATACATCTCATAAAGCAAACACTGTTCTGAGACCCGCGAAATCCTACATCAAGATACCAACTTAAACACTCTCATTGGACCGTATGTTGATATAGAAGATACCACAAGTATAGTAATCATCCGTATATAGATTTCTTTATACTTTCACTGACATCTTCTTTATAGAGGGGTTTCTGGAATAAGATCACTATTTGTTTACTTCCATAGCTAATTGACCTCAAATCACTACACACGGTGATGAAAATCATATGTCTATATTTGAAAGGATGCGGGACAGATGTGCGAACCAAGGAGATCATAATTTTGTTTCACATATTCCTTTCCAACTGAAAGATCATTCCATGACTCGCTACAGGTTCATAAGTCTATACTCTTTTCCAATGCTCATGATGATTCGGTTTCGACTTGTTGATCCATAGTTCTCCATTATTTCTGACTTGACCTGTAACCAACATCTTCTGTGCAAGCCATTGTTCCCAAACCTGATTTCTGGCTGATTTGCGAGCTTCTGCTTCTTCTGTCATTTGATGAATAGCTGCGAAATGTCCAGGTTCAAAGCCCTGACCGAGCCACCAGGTCGACCGCCTCAAGGCGAGTAGCAGAGGATAGGCCGCCTCCGTCAAAGGCAGAAGGCAAGCACCTTGACCTATTACTGGTGGAGAGGAGGGTGTGTTGGGGAAAGATGCAGCCTCCCATAACGCGGTGTAGATTTGTTCTTTGAGAATCTCCACAAGTCGTGTTGAGGCTGTGAGGACCGTGAGTTGGTTGAGAGCCGCCGTTATGAGTGATATCCCTGGTTTCGATGGCTGTTTGGCCATCTCTGCAAGTAATGCTTCCATATCCCAAATGGGCAACGGTCCAGATTCGGACTTCAAAGAGAACATCAAGGGGCGATTTTGACATGACTCGACGCTCCTTTTGTTTCGAAGTGCCGGATCTGAAGGACTTGATGTGGCAATGAAAGTTTCGGGATTACATGAACTGACTATCTCATCGAAACGTCGAGTAGAAAAAACTAAGATGCCGCCAATCTTTGCTGAACTTATTTGATCTTCGAGGTTTGTGATCTTTTCTTCGGACGAGCATGATATAGACCTTGAAGCTTCATCATTAAAACGAGAAATGATCTTTGTCAGAGTTTCTTCGCTAGTAAAGATTGGAACAATATCAAGGCTCCCGCGCGATTTCGGACGTTGTGGTGTCAAATGTGTCTTCAACATGTCTTTCAGAACCACACATTCCTGCGCAACTCTTCGTACCAATTGGCTAGAAATCTGATCGGCTAGGTTGGGACTGAAATTGGGGTCACGGAGATGACGATATATACTACCTGGGGAACGGTATGATCAGGTCAGTCATGAGTGATGTTCCTAGAACGCAAGTTCAAACTTTGCAATAGAAGATTTTTTTATCTAACAGCTTGATTGAAACAGCGCTTACGCAGCCTTTTGGGTTGCTGTAGAGCATCTCGATGGCAGATCACCCAGGTTGATATGCCTTCCTTATGGGGAGCCCAACGTTGATGTAATATTCTATTCGGTGTTAGATACACTGCATCCTTATCCTTCGTGTGGAGCGGAGGTAGGGAATGAGTGCTGGTAGTTGCTTCACTCTGAGAACGGGTGTAACTTAGACATAACATTAGGTCTTTCCATGCAAGATATGCAAAAGGGGTTCATTTCGTCATCGTCCTTATAATGTCGATACCATGGAATAACTGACCAGATGGTAGAACTGTTGAGGTGTATGAGTCCAGCCTTTGGAATGAGTTCAAAATCTTTTCGGTCTAAGCTCACAGAAGAAGAAAAAAGATGTCACGAAAGTATGTCAACCGACAGCTTTTCCCTTCACTGGTTAGATCACGGTGATCAAAGAGCGCAATTCATCGGCGCACATGAGCTCTTCGAGTACGCATATTTTCTGCTCGCTTTTTCAGCCTTCTCCGGCGTTCATTCGAGCTTTCATTCCACCTAGGCGTGAACCTATTCAACCACCTCAAGCGATCCACTTCAGTCTCGGGTAATGAAATGGGTGATTCAGGATCGACCAAGGGCGAGACGGACTTGATGAAAGCAGGTCGAATCAAAGGTATGCGGGGTGATTCCAATTTTGTGACACAATTGAGCGAGCTTTGTGACAACCCTCGACAAAGAAAACAATTTCCATGCTTCGCGGGTGCAATTTTGACGCACAGGCTTAAAACCATTCTCGGTCGCGTAGAGTCGAAAGAATCAACGAGTATTGCTTAGTTGGAGGTGAAGGCGACCGTGACCGATTGTTCAACAAACACATCAAAGAAATATCTGTCTGAGTCAATACGCTGATCGAAAACTTTTGGACGAGCTCCTGAGGACCTGGACCGAGAAAACGCCCCGGAGTCGTACCGAGGCCATTGATTAAGACCCGACTATTTACGCATTTCTTTCAAGGCGCAAATGTTCAAAGGATCAAGCAAGCCGACCTCTCTTAAGCTCGAGCATACATATTGCGTCAGTTTTCTGCCATTATAATTGGGGTTTGCGATCTTATGAGGTACTTTTAGGCTTGCAAGCACCAACTCGGCAAAGCAATTCTTTCAAAGATGCTATTGGGACACTTTCACTGTTTTTATGTGAAAAGGTCCACTCAGAACATGATTTGCGTATCGTCAAAGACCCCATTGTGACGTAAAAGAACAAAAAATAAGATAAGGATATGGTTGGTTCAAAATAATAATCTATATGATGCCAGCTTCGTCAACTAGGTAGACTTCAAGCAGGCACCAATGGTACAACTTAGTCTAAAAATAGAGGGCCATGGCGAAAATGATGAAGACTACGAACACTATATTTACCGTAGATAAATACTTCCAATATGAATAAGTTGAAATCGATGAGGTCGAGCTTTATAGGCTCTTGAGCAAAGTTGATCAGTTGTAAACCTTCACCGATTTAATTGCCCAATAAGCTTCGTGAAGTTGATCACCAGCATTGGCAATGAAGCTAGGGAGACGATTAATAACCAATGTGTCAGTTCTTCAAACTTCAATTACCAGTTTCAATGCACGGAGTCGGGAGTGATACATAGTCTTACTCTTGGCAGGTACTATAACCAGTCATCGCAGCGCAAGATTTTGGTTGACCAGCATAAGTGGCTGCCGAGTTCCATACACCTTCAGGCCATTGACCACACAGGTTGGTATTGATCTACGAGAAACGCTAAGTTAATACCTCTAAATATCGCATGCGACACACTGACTCTGAGGAGGTAAACACCCACCACCAGAACATGTTCCTTGAAATAATCACCCGTGGATTGACCTCCGCTGCCCTGAAATCTTGCACGAGGCTGACAAAGAATCGAGATGAGCTATAGACAATGTACTGCAGAGCTCGGTGAAATGACATACTTGGCCCCATGACGAGGATTTCGATGGGTGACCGGAAGCAATGTCCCCCGGCACTTCGTCACGAGGAAAAAAGACTGTAGAATTGCTATGTGTATGAGAGATTGTTTTGGAGATAGAAACTCGGAATGCGAATGATAATCTCACAAATGTTAATAGCTTCATTGGTCCATTCCATTACATGAATTCCTCCTTTAGCAGCGTTGAAAGGCTCCCCAAAAGAAGCCTGACTGGGATCACGCAGACCACACCCTAAAAGTATGATTCGGAGGAATGAAAATGGAACAAATATCTGTCTATATAGGGTAGACACTCACCTTGATCGTTGGTTGCGGAAGCATCGCAGTTGGTTTGCTGATCCCCGTCCAACATGAATTTGGAATGAAACCCAGTAGACTTCATCCAGAATCCAGTCTTGGTGTGTGCTGAAAGAGAGTTCTGCGTGAACATATTTACTCCTTCAATGATGTCGATCTCGCCGTGTTCCGGCCATTCTCCATCTATGATAATGGGAGACGATCAAATCAGCATCGAAATCACGTATCGAGCGGACGGTACATCAATCAAAGACGCACCTTTGGCTACAGTCCACAAAGCCGGCCACGCGCCACAGGCCGCCGGCATGTGTAAGATATCAACAACTAAAAGCGTCCCCGGCGAGAAGGTGTCTTTCGAAGAAATGCGAATAGATTTCCTGTTCTCTGCATGTTTCGTGGTATCGACCCCGACTGCAAGTCATACCCAATCAACCGGTCAGATATGATTGAGATACAATCAGGCGGAGAAAAGATAACACACGGTAGAGGGTGCCGTCTTTCGACCCTACAATCGATGAGCGGTAGCCCTCCTCGAGGTCAACATACTGGGCGATACCACCTTGTGAACCTTGATTAACACTCTCAAAGCTGCGACCACGCATGAAATCGTGTGAGTCCTGTAGCCGTCTCCTAACAAGGTAAAATATGTATGTAGCGTGCGTCCAACTTACTTGAAAAAGTCTGTGATTTGACTTCCAGAAGCCTCAGACTTCAATGTCCACAAATTTCCACCGCCGCCACTGATGTAACCACTTTGACGAGCTTTGCGCTTGGATTTCTTCTTCTTGTGGTGTTTCTTGGCTTCGGAGTCCTCAAAAAGAGCATTGAAACATAAGATAAATACCAAAAGGATGGTGAAGTTGAAGCGAATGTTGGATAAAGATACTGAATGCATAATCAATATATTGTACTAATTGAGATGTGATGAAGCTATACAACGGGGTTGGGAGAACGATGAGGAGAGTAAGAAAAGGTCCTTGAATATTTAAGAGCGAAGATGGATCACAATGTCCAACAAGGTAGTGGGAAAGTCACAATTAAAAATGCTTTTCCTTTGGGAAATGATCAACTCTTCAGACCGTGCATGTCGCAAAACAAATCCTACCAAATAATTAAAGTCCGCTCACTGGGGGTCTTTTGCGCCATTCATCCGGAAGTCTGAGACTTTTTTGCTGGTAGGTGGCAAAGTAAGATTTGTGTGCTCAAGCCTTTCATAATACCCAGTAGGATTCAACGCTATGCGCATCGTCCCGGAAGGTATTCTGACAAGGTTTTAGCATGAGCGTGATCCCTATCCTATCAGGTCTAAGGTCTCTCCCATCAGAATCCAGCGATGATGTCCAAGAACGACCAAAAGTATCAATTAAATTGGAGCCTTCAATTTCCGGCCATCGTCATTAACTACAACATACGAAGTCATGAGCACATTCGAACACACGCGGGATGTATTGTTATAACATTTGGTAATGAGAGAGGGTTTGTCGACAGTGTCAAAAGAGATGGATTGATCCAAATGACAGTGATCATTTCGTCGGTCCGTATGACCAGAAGAATATCCTGGTCGGAACATCATCCTAAAGAATGAAGCGCCCTGTAAGCATCACCCTTCATATCACTAGAAAAGTTTCAATGGTGAGTGAGAATTCAGGCACGTGGAGAGAGTCATGATGATTATCACTTGTTTTTGATCTTCAAACAACCCGTGGCAATATCATGTCATTTGGATGTCATCAGGTAACGGGAAGCCCTCACTATTTAGAAAGATGGGTCCGAACTTGGATTTATGTTGAGCCCGATCTATGAAATTTGCATCTATGAAAATGTCAGAGGATCCAATTGGGTGAGTAGTTTATGATATGCGTCATGCTCATCTACAAGGCTTTGTAAGTTCATATAGCTCTCCTATTGATTCTGGCAACTCAAAAAAGAGAAAATTGTATCGGTATGTCATTCATGTCATTTATAGAGCCAGGCCAGAAAGTCTCAGCGCTTGAAGAAAAATATGGCGAGACTGAGACAAGCTTGTTCTACATGGAATAAATATGGTATCAGAATTTAAGCTACATGTTCTGGACGATTTTCCACAATTTTCGACAAATTTTGGTCGAGTCCGATTGCCTCCCGTTGATTGACCACCCAACCAGAAGTTGATGATGCCTATTGAACGAGATTAGGGTAAGCTCAAATGACGATCACGTGTTAGGATCCAAAAGTAGAACAACTCGCCTGCCCCCAGAAATAAGCGGCTTGAACGAGTAATAATTGCTCAACCAACTGAATAGCATCTGTGAATACGAATGCACTGAACATCTCTCGGTCTTCATCAGTCACTAAGTCTTCCAATGTCACGATTTGCCCTTGTTTGTGAAGGGTTTGAAAGATTGATTTGTCCATGTCAGTGGAAAGATAGATCCTGCAATTTTGTAATTAGTCATAAGCTTTGACCGCGCTAAGATGGAATAAGTGTTAATTGCAGTCTGACTTACGGATCTGTGATTTTCGGAGGTAGTTTGCTTGTTTCATATGACTGGTATAAGGGTTTCAGGAGCTTGGGATGGTTCGTTAGCGTAGAAACGGAGTCATCAAGATGTGTTTTGAAAATCGTGAAAAAATCCACTTCTTTCTACAACACAGAGAGCCAATCAATACACTCATTTTTTTCTTGTGAGTCACGTCAATGCATGATGGATATTTGCACAATTCACGACTTACTTCATGACTATTGCTTGTAAGGTTTGGAGCCCAGGTACTGTTGGAAAGATACGCCGCTCTCCAAGCTCTACCTTCACAAATCTCTCGCATCCTAATCTCTAACTTGGTTGCCAAGTCGAAGTATGCTTGTGGTAGCTTGAACCCATTTCTAGTCGTATGTGTGAATTTATCTCGTGCTTCAGGGGTAGACCAGAACATTCCTCCCGGCGGCAAATCAATAGCTGTGATTCCCTGCGCATTGGAATGAGCCGGGACCGACGATTGATGATATCTGGAAATTAAATCAAATTGTATGTACCTCTACGTGTAGCAATTGCTCTAAATGGCCGTTCAAATCGTCCCAGAGTCCACTCAGATTATCTAAATTCCTTATGTACCGCGTGGGCTCGATGGTCGCCTGGGTCTGCCAGCCAACCTGACTTTGTGTCATTTCATCATTCACACCAAAAATTTCCTTTATTAGTTCTGGCGTGTCTCCAAATGTATATGTGGATCCATGATATTACTGCACAGAAATCCAAACTTACCTAAATCCAAATACGCTTCTGAACCCGGTAGTAGCTAGGCAACTGTCAAACAATATACCCTCGCGGTTCTTCAGGCCCCCCGGAATTTCCAGCTGAGAAGTGAGAAGATGATCATTCCATATCTTCGCTTCTTTTGTCACGTCGTTTACTCCCGTGATCGGATGCATGGCGAGTGATGCATTTGAGTTGAGTCTACTAATCGTGATGAGTGCGTGTTCACATTTTGCCATGATCTCGGGAGTAGCTTCAAGCATCAAGCCGACGTTTTTACCAGTCAAATAGTGTTTGATGAACAAAGGTGAATGAGTTAGTGGCAGGCGATCGACCTTTTGTGATTCTGTGAAGTCAAGAAATCTGCTTGTACAATTCATGAGTTCGTTGCACCGGGAGAGACTGGGGATCATCCAAGTAAGGATGGTCCTTACCTTGCTGAAATCCGATGATAGCTCATCTTGTGGTTGTAGTCCGTTGACCATTTACCATCAGCCATACCTAGTGAGGCCCTGACGGGTTCTGGACCATTAGCTGTTACGAGGTCGAGGTATGTGTTGAACGCAACGACATTCTTCGATATGCTAGTCAGGTGTTGGACATCGATGACTTGCTGTGATGGTAATACAGTCAAACTTTTATCAGCAAGTTGTTTCTAATGTACGCTTCAGCCCAGCACCTCAATACAATCGTGGACACGGATGGCACCAAACTCACTTGAAGAGGTACTACCCATCCACGAGCATTTCGAGTAGGAAGCCTAGGTTTTAAGTGATGAAGCCCATCATCAGGTTCTGGATAATTTTCAATATTTGGTAGAGCTTTGTGTTTGGAGGATGACTCAGTCAAAGAGTATATCTCGATGCACGACCTGATTGATTACTTACTTCGAATGTCAACAGCTTCGTCTTGCACCAGCATCGGAGCAACTTTGGTACACCTCTCACTATTTCAATCAAGAGATTGGTCGATGTCAGGTAAGCATAGGAGACGGTTGATGTAGACATAGGAAACGCACATCTCATATTGACATGCAGACGCGTATATGAACGCTGGCAGGACTAGCTCCCGATCCAACAAGGTCGCGAGCAACAAGGCGTTTTCAATCTCTTGACGAATCTCATTCCAACTCCGATATAACCTAGAATGGTGGGAGGAACAGTGTATACGTTGAAACAAACTTTCCAGGGAAGCCTGGAATGATGAAAGTAAGAACTTACTGCCAGTCCTTGACCAAAAACTTGCGTCGCCCTACCGCAGTGCTCACCAAGCCGGGGGGTTGTTTGATACCCATCCAGTCGTGCATATGGTCCTGCGCAATGGATATGATCTTCCTATGGCGTTCGTTCATAACTTCATTTCTCCAGCGAATGAAGCTAAATAGTAAGAGACTGGTCAATAGAACTCCCAGGCAGAGTTTGAACCTGCCAGCACCCTGCCGCAATTTGTAAATCAAACCAGATGCGCGATTTGGAGATTTTGTTGAGCGTTTGACTGTTTTGTCTCGATCGACCAACGGAACATACTGTCGTAAATCGGGGGGGACGATACGATGTTGAGAGACTGAGCTCCTCCGTGTCAATTTGCGCTGCTGATAGGACATCTTTCTGGCTGGAAAGGAAGGGAAGGGAACTCGGAATAGGTCAAGTGAGGATCGAGATGAGCGAACAGTTGGCTATGAAATGGTTGCAGGCAGTCGGGGAGTACGCGTGCAGTGCGCCGGTCGCCAACCCCAAAACTGCAAAACTGTGTCGTCAAGTGTATGATACAAGAAAAGAAGGTCACATTCAATTAAGTCAGAATGAATCCATGCGACCAAGCCCTGCGGAGTACAATTTAATTGTAGGAGCATTGGAATCCTAATGATCAAATCAAAATGCTTGATGAAAAATTACCAACCTGCCTCTTGATTTGAAGACATTTGGAGACACCCAAAGATGTGTAGAGTCAATTGTTGTGAAGTTTAAGCACAGAATATGTTTACCTTTTGCGTACTCCAATTCCTCGTAGGGTTATGTAGCCATGACCAAGTCACATCTTTCAGCTTGAGACTTGGTTACAAAAGGTTCAAAAGTTGATTGTATGCAGGGCACAATGTATCTGATTCATCCTTCGCACAACAGATACTCCTCCTGCGGATCATCCAGAAATGGAATGCCTTGGATTGGTGGCCAATCTCAATCAAAATACTTGTTAGCCTTGCAAAAGTATCCATGTAGGTTTACAGATGAACACACCTGAACACATCTCAAGGTCTCAATGCTCTGTTCTATCAAGAAGAATAGGTCAAAGCTGCTGTGATGTTGCTTCAACAAACAAAGTCTAAGCCATCCCCACAGATGATTACTTCACAATTCCTGTGCTGTTTAATCTCTTCTTTATCATCATGGTATTTCATCATGAGGATACTGTTTCCCTTGAAATGCTGCTATATAAACTGTGTATGACTTTGAACTGTTGTTCACTTCCCACTTTTGTATATCAATCTTTCTCAAAAATTATTCTTCCAAAATGATATTCTCACAACTATTCAAGACTCCTTCCATTATGGTCATCTGTATTCTTTAACCTATTCACTGACACCAACTTTAGTGCATGAGATATACAATTTACAAATGTATATTGAGTCTCCTTCTCCTGAACCTTCATCTTGAATTGATTTTGTAGCTAAATTGAGTCAAGTTGGCTCAGTGTGATGAGAGTCCACACTTGAGTTTCCTTTTGGAATACCTGTGCCTATGAGATCCACTTAGAGGGATTTTGTCATAGGGTGAATAACTTACAGCAAGATCAATCTCTACATTGGATCGAGACAAATGACCCAGACACACCAGGCAAATTCAGGTCATGCAGTGCATACAGGTTGCATGGTCCTGAATGCATGTCAGGACCTGGGGCACCTGTGAGGCATGCAGGACTTGTTATCCTGTACACACCCTGTATCTGTCACACCAATCACATGTATTTGCGTACGTACTGAAATGTGCATGTCACATAGCTATAAGTCTCTCATGGGGTCTGTATTGGCCCATTATTGTGGGCCAAATACCCATGTCACTTGTATGACTGGCGGGGGTGCAATACATGAGGACATATCATGCAGCCATGACATGACTCAGGATGCGGAAATATCTTCTGTTTTCAACATGACCGTGCAACCTGTATTCACTCCATGACCTCAAGAGGAGGAACACATACACTCAGTTTCAAAAATGTAGAAGTAGACTTGGGTCAGACCCTGCTTTCTAGGACCAAAAACCTTGCTGGGGGGATTTATGTGGAACAAATATGAATTTGAATGAGAGACACTCCATCAATTGGCCCAAAGGCTTTTCTTGCATACTATCACAGGATGCCCAAAAATTCCATCATACTTCTGGCAACACCCATTTCATTTTGGTTGTTGAATTTGTTGTCAAGTGATTTGACAATGACACCATATTTAGTTGTGATTTAATTGATCAAATTGATGGTCTTTATAACAGTAAGCTTGACTCTTTCTTTAATAATCTTTCCTCTCTTCTGCCATTGGGCGGTCTATTGGGGAGAGGGCCAGAAATGGGGATAGGGAAGGTCAGAGGCCTAGGTATTGCAGAGTATTCTCTGTCAGCACCATCCAAAAATGTGTGAAATGCATTTGGGACCAACAGGGACATCACCTGTTATACACATAATTTTGGTTGTATTGCATCAAAACCAACAAACCTCAGAGTTGTGGTTCATTTGACTGTGAAGTGAGTGTTGGTTAGGTCATAATTTACAAGCCAAATTGAGCCAAATTTCCCCAGTCCTGAGTCACTATCCCAAGAGCAGTACAGGTTGATCCAGTCTATATAATCAAACCACAGGTCGGCCCCAGGGCCCGCTGTGATACCCAAATTTTGACCCCTCCAGTAATACCCAAGTAGGGGTTTTTGAAACATATTTTCATTACCAAGGTAAGCACTTGGGTATGCACAGACCTAAAATTGGAGGTTTGGAAGAAAAACCAAAGAAAGGCCAGTCAGATTGAAAAGATCTTCCAGACACACACATCCTAATTATACTGCAAACACAACTTATCATGTGATGTTTATCAAGATGAGTCATGCATATAAAACTGTGTACTCGTATTTAATTTTTTTGTGGTTTTCACTAGACTGAATCAACTGTAGTGCTTCTTGCAAGCAAGATTCATTGCCATGAATTTCCAGTTTGCCCTCTGGGAACCTGATGATATACAAAAGGTCAATCTCCATATCCCCAATGTCACACATTGTAATGCAGACAATACCTGAACCGCTCCGCTCGAAATAGCTGTTTCGGAGCTGTTTCGGAGCGGTTTTGGGCCCCGCTATGTCCTGCGCAGTCTATAGCGGGGCCTGCGCACCAAACTCAAAACCCTGGTTTTTACATAGCAAAAAACCGCAGCGAAATGCCCTGGGGCTTTGGGTTCTCCGCTACAAGTGCCGAATTGGAACCTTGAGGTGGGTAGAGGGCAGTCAACTGTAGTTACCCCACCCCTTTACTAGATCAGCGCCTCACGCCATCCAGTCCACCATCACCTCTTTCGATCCTAGATCAACACCTCCACCACCGATGGAACACGGCCCCTGGAATACTGTTCGAGGGCCAATATGTGGTCCGTCTGAGCGCCGAATTTTAGGATATTTGAAACTTATCGGTTGGTCAGTAACAATCTCCCTTCCCAAATCATCAATTGAATAATCAATACTTACTTTTATCATCTCGCTATTCATTTAAAAACCTTTATAACCTTTCCTTTCATTGTTTTTCACAATCTTATCAATGGCCATCTCGAATACCCCATCTACCCAATCCTCTTCCAAAAGTTCCAATCTTCGAGTTCCCGGTTTACCCAGTTCTAGAACTCTTAGACCACCAAGTCCTGCCCGATCCCAGCCAGGATTTGTGGCGACCCCAAAGGATTCACGTACGACTCTGACCATTCCTTCGGACGGCAAACAACCCGGTTCTCTTTCTGATCGGCTTGCATCACCTCGCCCGCCAGTTCTTACAACAAAGAAGAAGACCAGTGTTCCAGTTTCCACCAAACCGAATGGAAAAAGAAAGGTGAGTCTCATTTCTCGGACTTTAAGCTCATACATCAAACTAATCTATATTTGTAGACTCGCTCTTCCACTAGCAAACGAGTCAGATCACCAACACCCAGTTCGAAGGCTGGCTCACCCTCACCTCGACCCAAGAAGAAGGCCATCACAGATGTAAGCCCACTTTTCCTATTTCTCACTTTTCCTAACTCAATGTCTCTATAACTTACAGACGAACTGAACCTTTTTCATATGTGTAGGCATATGAGGTACCTGGCGATGTCAACTTGGATCAAGATTCCAATGTTGAGTTCATTGGGACCAATCAACCTGGCTACATGGAAGTTCGAAGTGATTGGGTGCAAGACCTACTTAAGTTCTTTGAGCCTCCTGTGGTAAGTTTCTTTCTCATTTCTACCTTTTTCTGTCCTTTACTTTCTTCTCATCGTGTTGAGGTTCAAGCTGATGTCTTCTTTTTGGTTCAATTATAGGGTCGTAGTTACAAGTGCCGGTGGTGCAAGAACACGTTCTTGCGTCACCCAACTTCCTACTGGAACTTATGGGGGCACCGCAACGGAAATGAGACTCGTCCTGTGTGTAAGATGCGCCATAAAGCGATCAAGGCAGGTTTGATACTCCCACCAGTTTATGAAGATCAGATCGCGGCAGAGAAGAAGAAGAACACCTTGGATTCATTTGTCAAAGGACCGGTCTTTTCAGTTGACTTGTTGAATATGATTCTCGTAATCTGGATTGTTTGACATGCGCTACCTTGGATTCGTTTTCAAGACCCGGCTCTTTGTGCGGCCTTCTATTGTGTCAATTGTGGTGCAGTGGTTCGATCAACTGCTTGGGCCACAAAACAGTCTGTCCATCTTTTTGCAGCCCTGCACAACAAGGCGATCAACAACTTGAAGGTAAGTACAATTGTGACTATCATCACAGTATAGATGTACTTCAACTGATCAAATCTTTGAATTTTAACAGGAAAACAAAGGTAAGTTTTGTTTAATACATGATGTTTGGACCACCAAAGGCAATTGGTATGCCTTTGTTGGTGCCTCAGCAAACTATATCGACAACAATTGGGAATATCGATCGAGCCATCTCACCCTCAAGATGGTGGGATGGCGACATTTTGGTGCTCTGCTCGCCAGACCCATCGGGCGATTTTTGATTCGCCATGGACTTCATAAAAAGATGAGTCGATCTTTTTCAATTCTTTTATTTCTCTTTCATTATCTCATGTATTTAGGGTTTGCTTACCTCTTTGTATTGTACTTACATCTTAGCTCAGACTACCAATAGCGGAGGGAACAACTCGACAATGGCCTCCGAGCTCCAACAAATGTTCGCTGAAGCTGAAGAATCCGTCCATTGGTCTAGCCGAACTCATCACGTACGGTGTTATGCGCATAAGCTCAACCTTGTTGTTGGGCACGGTCTCAAAGTACTTGGTCAGAAGACCGGTAATGCGAAGCCTTCTATCCCGCACGGCGTTGCTCTTCCTATACCTGGGCTGGAGATCAACGATGGCGAGGACTCCCTTGAGTTTCATGCTTCTGATACGGATTCCGAGGACAAGGACGGCTTACCCGAAATAGCAGACGGTGTTGACAAAGAAGATGTTGTTCAAGACAAAGACAAAGAGTTACCTTGTGACCAAGATGATGTAGTTGCAGCTGCGCTTCAAAAGGTAA